CATCATGGGGGTAATTTTCATTCCCCCAATCTGGCAAATTTCAATGTGAAAAAAACTGAACGCAAGCCTTATATTTGACTCGGTAACTTTTGAAAACACCATAAAACCTGTACATGAGGGATACTGTTAGACTCGGGAGACTTCGCTGAACACAAATATTAGTGTTTCAAAACAATAAAATGTATCACAACAATTATATTGTCCGTGTAAGTGCCATTTGTGTGTGAAAAATGCAAAACATTTCACTTTAACTGATGATATCATCGTTGTAATACATTTTACTGTTTTAAAACACGAATATTTGTGTTCAACAAAGTCTTCCGAGTAAAACAGTACCCCCCACGTACAGGTTGTATGGTGTCTTGGAAAGTTACATGGTTAAATGCTATGGACAGCTATGCCGTCTATGTATTCGTTAGGTCCTCGCACGGAACCTCGTGATCACATGGCCCAGGGCGATGCCAGGTGAGTCCCCACACCGCAATCGCCGGCGACTGAGTAAGTACAAAGTACGGCGGGGACGTGCTATGCAGCCCCCCCCCCCGGCGTTTAGAGCCGCGTCCCCAAGGACGGCATAGCACGTCCGCCGTCCTTAAGGGGTTAATATTATTGAGCCACTCTGGGGATATCTCAAACGTGCAGTACATGCAAATATATCACCTACTACTATTACAAAAAATGGCACACTGTCATTGCTGCTAAAGGGGGCAATACACAGTATTAGGAACTTCAGATTTTTGAACAGGGGTAATTTCATTTTTCTCTTTGTTGCCATGTTTTGTTTTATAATTGTTCCATTCTGTTATAACCTACAGTTGAATATGAATCCCATAAGAAATAAAAGAAATGCGTTTTGCCTGCTCACTCATGTTTTCTTTAAAAATGGTACATAGATAACTGGTTCTCCAAGGGTATGCAAACTTTTGAGCACACCTGTGCCTTCACTAAAATTTCACATAAAATCACAGCTTCACTTTGAGGTTCTTTTCAGTTTTCCAAGATATAAACTCCTTAGCATTCCTAACATTTTTTCTCCCTTTTTCTTTCCCTTTTAACTCTTTATATTTCTTTCTATTCCTGGGATGTGAAGATTACCTTATCCTATACTTGCTCTTACTTTCTCTGTACTTCTTTAAAACTATTTGCCCTACTTTCATAACGTTGAAAAGAAAAATATAAATAGAATAAAATGTAAGTAGAATATTGTGATTACATTATATGCCTTCTACTCATATTTAAATCATACCTCCCAAGTTTCATTTAGGAGAGAAAGTCCTTTTTTCTCAGAGCTCTATTTTGTTAGCATGTCTGAGTAAATAACAGAGCTTCATAGCAATAATACTCATGGTAATGTAGCTGTTTTTTTACTTTCTTTATTTTGTCTTAGGCAGTAGGTTAGCATTACATATGCATGTAGACATTTTGAAATAATGCATAATACACCAACAATCTACATTGCATCAAATCAATGTGTAATATCGGATTTAGGTGCTTAAAAATTGTAGCACATTGATAAGTATTGTATCTTAACAATTACACTATTATAGGTGTAAGGTAGCTGTTCAGTTGGGGTTACCTTGTGGTAATTTAGCCAACATAGCTATTTGTTGGTGCGTGGAGAGAGTTCTCTATTGTTTTCAACTTACTATTAAAGAGCAGGGTATCTGCTTTTGTCTGGCATTGCATACGAGCTATTGCTGGGCCTACGACCTAAGAATGTTTTTTGAATAGTGTCGGAGAGGATAAAGAAGTGAATGATGGAAAAAAGGAAGGAAGAGAGCAGAAGTGAAGATTGTTCATAAGAATTAGGTAGAAGAGGATAGAGTGCCTGGCCGACTTTGGGGTTGGTGGGGGAGTATCTCTGAGAACTCCACTCTTCCCTACTCTTAGGGTGATTTTTTTTTTTTTAGAAGTGACTGTTCCCTCCATGTCAAATCATTAAGTGGTTTAGATAACAGAAAGGTTTATGGGTTTGGATCCACTTGTTTATGCAATATCTGTAAAGCAAGTTCCCCTATTTCTCCCAGAAAATCGCCACCTGTTGGCAACTCCACACATACGGGTGTATGTTCCCCTACTTCCACACAGTCTCCAACACAAATCTGTTGGGACTTTCCACATGTGGTAGAGTTTTACGGGAGTGGTATATAATCGGAGCATTGTTTTGTAAGATTGCTCCTGCATTGTCATGCAGTGGAAGTTTTGCCATTTGCCTCCCATATATTCCTATATATTTTGCAAGTCTGTACCCACCAGAACCTCGCCCAGCTCTGCCTCCCATTGGTCCATATAGTGTAGTCTTCCCAGGCCAGTTGTATTGGAGCATAAGTGTGTGTGTAATAGTGTGATCTAGTGATGTACCGAACGGTTCGCCGGCGAACGGTTCCTGGCGAACATAGCATGTTCGCGTTCGCCACGGCGTGCGAACATATGCGCGGTTCGACCCGCCCCCTATTCGTCATCATTGAGTAAACTTTGACCCTGTACCTCACAGTCAGCAGACACATTCCAGCCAATTAGCAGCACAGCCTCCCTAGCAGACCCTCCCACCTACTGGACAGCATCCATTTTAGATTCATTCTCAAGCTGCATGCTTAGTAAGAGGAGGGAAAGTGTAGCTGCTGTTCATAAGATAGGGAAAAGCATAGCTAGGTTAGGGATAAGGGTATGCTTTTTTTGGATTTTTTTTTTCTATCTAATGTAAATGCACTTAGTTGTCTGCCACTGCTGCCAGCTTCTGTGTCAGGCTCACAGTGCCCATTTCCCCAGTCAGTGCCACCAATTACATCTGGTGTCACAATAGCTTGGATTTAAAAACAAAAAACTTTTTTCACTGTTATAGATTGAATAGCAGTCAGTTGTCTGCCACTGCTGCCAGCTTCTGTGTCAGGCTCACAGTGCATACTGTGCCCATTTCCCCAGTCAGTGCCACAAATTACATCTGGTGTCACAATAGCTTGGATTTAAAAACAAAAAACTTTTTTCACTGTTATAGATTGAATAGCAGTCAGTTGTCTGCCACTGCTGCCAACTTCTGTGTCAGGCTCACAGTGCATACTGTGCCCATTTCCCCAGTCAGTGCCACCAATTACATTTGGTGTCACAATAGCTTGGATTTAAAAACAAAAAACTTTTTTTACTGTTATAGATTGAATAGCAGTCAGTGTCCTTAAAGCGGGTGTGTTACGCTAACAGTGGATACGCTGACAAGTGCCACTAATTAGATCTGGTGTCACAATAGTTTTGATTTAAAAAAATAATAATCTTTTTTCACTGTTATAGATTGAATAGCAGTCAGTGTCCTTACTGGTCTGGTGTAGAATAGACTGTCTGGCATCTGTTTGTAACTGTGGTCACAAAAATCAATGTTCTGGGGGAACGGGAAGCAGCTCCATTTTTGGGGCCCTTACACAGCTCAAGGTCTGGGTCCCCAGGCCCTGACGGCAAGTATGCCCATAAGGCCCACCCATAAGTCCACCTACAAGTTCCACTCATGAGTGGAACCGGGAGTGGAGTGTGTAGGGGATGTGTTATGTGTTATTCTTGAGGATCTAATGTGTGTGCTTATGGAATGTAGTGTATAGGTATGCCAGTTTGTGTAGGCGATGCAGTGTGTGTGGTGGATGCAGTGTGTTTTTGTGTAAGTTGTAGAAAGCAGTGTGTGTGTGTGTGTGTGTGTGTGTGTAAGGGATGCAATGTGTGTTTCTGTGTATGTAAGGGATGCATTGCCTTTGTGTGTAATGGGTGCATTGTGTGTTTCTCTGTGTGTAAGGGAAGCATGGTGTGTTTGTGTGGAGAGAGTTTGTAGGATAGGATAGGGGCTAAGAAAGGAACAACTCTTTATTTTTATTATATTTATTCTGTTAATATAAAAAAAAAATTTATGTTTTGCGTCTTACATTCCCCTTTAGTGTATCTCTTTCAAGCTGCTTGTTTGTCTCTTATCCCCCCTCTTTGTATGTCTTTTGATGTCCATTGATGCTCTCCCCCTTCACTTAGTACTCTCTCCTACCCCCTTTCCTTTAGAGCTCTCCCTCCTGTTCCTTAGAGCTCTCCTCTTCCCCTTTAGTGGTTTCTGCTCTCCCCTGCCCCCCCTTGGTGGTCTCTCCTCTCCCCCCCTTCCCTAATGGTCACTCCTTCCACCCCTGCTGGTCTCTCCTCCCCCTCCCCTAGTGGTCTCTCCTCTCCCCTTCTTCCCTTTAGGGTCTCTCCTCTTCCCCCTCCCCTCGTGGCCTCTCCCCTTCCCCTCGTCATCTCTCCTCCCCCCTCCTTGCCCTCCCCTAGTGGTATCTCCTCACCGCTCCCCCCCTTGTGGTCTCTCCTGTGGTCCAGTGGTGGCTCAGGCTGAAGGAAGTCTCTGACTCCCTCCTCTACTTCCTTCTCCTGATGGTTGCTAGGAAGTCCGGGCCCCCTAGAAGTACTTTGCCATCGGGTGGCCCTAACAGAATGGCCGACCCAATGGGCAGTTCTACCACCCGATCTGGAGCCACATTACTTGGCCGGCAGGCACTTCGGTCGCAGGGGTCTGCAGGGCAGCCAGGTACCCTGGAGTGACGGGCCAGGTCGCAGCTGCGACCGTGGTAGTTCCACCACTGTGTTTATTTAAACCTCATATCTTCAGCACTATGATACGTCTAAAATGTTCACTAAGTTGTAATGACAAGATTGTAGCTCATCCTTTGTCTACCAACCTGGTCTTCCAATATGTATGACATCAGTTTTGCATATAATATTCTCCAGTCATGGTCACAATACTTTTCTAGTTTTCCTGTTGTACACTCTTCTTCCTCGCTACCTCTATCTGAATGTTCTTCCTAAATGTTATCTCTTCGAACTGATTTTAGAAAAAGCATGAGTTGATTACCTTCTAAAATTCTTATTAAATAGCAATGTGACAAAGTAATACTGGAGACAACCGTCTTGTTGTAACTATAAGTTTATTAGAACCCCTTTCAAACAACAGAGAAAGGTACAATAGAATAAAACAAAACAACTTAAGATTTTGTATAAAACCTTTTTTATTATTTTTTATTTTAACATTTTTCTTCCATAAAATGCGTAAAAATTTGAAATGTCAGGTTTAACAAAGGCAGTTCCGGTAAACAGTCCTGAAATATTTATCACTAAATATTATTGCAATTTAAAATGAAACAGAAAAAAAAAAAAAGATATCATAGCAACATAAAAACTGGCAAAACCATTCCAAAGGTATCTCATATTCACCATGTTTTAAAACAGAAATAACAGACAACCATTTTTGTTTTTGTTTTAACACAATCTGTTGTAGGTAGTTGTAGTCAGAATTAAGCTAGGTTGGAGGATTTGCAGCATTGTCTGTACAAATAGGATTACTTCAGTCCAGTCTAATGGAACCTTTGTCGAGGGATGGGTATTGCACTTGTTATATGAGTTCAATTTACAAGGTTAAAGGACCACTCTAGGCACCCAGACCACTTCAGCTTAATGAAGTGGTCTGGGTGCCAGGTCCAGCTAGGGTTAACCCATTTTTTCATAAACATAGCAGTTTCACAGAAACTGCTATGTTTATGAATGGGTTAAGCCTTCCCCATTTCCTCTAGCGGCTGTCTCATTGACAACCGCTAGAGGCGCTTGCGTGCTTCTCACTGTGATTTTCACAGTGAGAGCACGCAAGCGTCCATAGGAAAGCATTATGAATGCTTTCCTATGTGACCGGCTGAATGCGCGCGCAGCCAGCCGATGGGGAGGAGAAGAGGAGGATCGGAGGAGGAGAGCTCCCCGCCCAGCGCTGGAAAAGGGTATGTTTTAACCCCTTTCCCCTTTCCAGAGCCGGGCGGGAGTGGGACCCTGAGGGTGGGGGCACCCTCAGGGCACTATAGTGCCAGGAAAACAAGTATGTTTTCCTGGCACTATAGTGGTCCTTTAACAATAGTTTAGAGATAACCCACTACAATATATGCAGAACTATCAATAAATAGTTTATGGGAGATTACAAATATCCTGCAATACTTTTTAAAGTTAGATGATATGGATATAATTTGAACAATGCACAATTAAAATTTCAAACTGATTTTTTAAACATTCTTATACTCTGAGCATGTAGTTTAGGTATATAAGAGTCACATTTACTTTGTTCACATATTTTTCTTGTACAAACTGAAATTGTTTCTGTACTGATACATTTGGAGACAATGAGCTAGACTCATAACATATCAAACTGACCACTACAGCTGGTTTACATTTATTAAGACGTGACGTCATCTAGTAAATGCGACTATAAGGTAAGGTCCAATGTAAAAATGACTAACTTTGGCATCCCTGATGTCTCTGAATTATATTTCCCATGATGCTTAGGAATCAATGTTTTTTTTATTATTGTGAAAATTAGAGAGACATTCAAGGCCTTATAACCATATTATCTCATTATAGTGTCTTATAGTGTGGCTATAGTGTCTGGGATATCCTGGCAGTGTCTCTCCTTGAAATGTTAAACCATTTCCAAGCAGTTTAACATTAAATGCTGTACCTCTGGCCCTGACCAGGGGGTGTGGCTAAGGCAGAGAATACATTCCTACCAGGAATGGGCATCTGGGATGGGCTGAATATGGTCAGCTGACACTCTCAGCCAATTATCACCACCCATTGCTGCTCAGACTAATGTTTCTTCAGAATGTTTCTTCATTAGCCTGAGCAGTGCAAAGGGGATGGGTTGGCAAGGAGTCTTGTTTAGTGCTAAAAGATTAGAAACAGTTTAATTAATATTATCTAGAGGTTTTCTGTTATTTCCATTTGCATGCGTGATCAGATATATATGTATGTAATATGCTCTCGGCACAATAGAAATATGAATTATACTATGAATTGTTAAAACATATACCATAAACATCTTTTGAAATATCTTTACAATTGCAGAACTTTTAAGAGATTCAAATTACATAGAAATAAAGAAATATTTTCCTATTGCTAAAATGTAACAACGGAAATACTTAAGTATAAACTATTAAACTATTTAAACTATTAAACTATTAAAGGAAAACTATTGTTATTATTATTATTTGTAGCATATTATTCGAATAACCAGTGTAGTGCAGGACAGGTACTTCAAAAAACAAAATGCTGCTAAGACAAACATTTTATAATAAAATTTGCTTTCTCCAACCAATTGCTTTGGCCAAAACACATCTCCAATGAACTCTAAAAAAAACTTGGAGCCCGTATAAGACCTTTGCTTTTATTCAAGTTAGGTGCTTATTTAGATAGACTAATAAACTTCACCATGTTGTATCCTTTGAAATTACCTCATAGGAACAATAGCATGGCATGTTTTTCTATTTGAAGAATAGATTAATATAAAGTGAAATAGGTTTTATAATAATAGCATAATATAGAAACGTAAGTGCAGTTTGCTTGTCAAACTGCTCATGTTTAGAGTTCTTAATATATCTTACCATAACAGCCAATTCTACTTCTCTCACTATTCGGCATTGCTATTAAAGGATCATTTCAAGCACTGTAACCACTACAGGCTACAGTGCTACAGTGCTCACCTTCCCCCCAATGAAAATAGTCAAATAGTTGGTAACAGTCTGACTTCTTACATGGCTCCCTAGCTCCAGTTGCTCTTTGTCAGCCAATGAACTAAGCTCAGGACCACTGCTAGAGTGGTTATGGTGCTTGGAGTATTCCTTTAAAATTGGAAAGGCTGACTCAGGACACCAAACTTTCAGAGGCTTGTCAAGTATGAGCCCACTATTATTTAAGCTTTATAAATATAAAGGAAGTAGATATAGGTTTATCACAAGCAAACAATGAAATAAACAATGTAATCCAAAAGTCCTTTTTTGCAATGTAAATACACTATTTAAATGTTTAGCATTTTACTTATGATAGTGTCCCTTAGCTATTCTTAGCTACAAACCCACTTACGTACTTTGGGAGTATCATGATTGTGTTATAGTAAAACAGAAGTGGTCTACAGTGGATCATTGAAAAGACAGCTGCACACAAAGCACATATTGCCCATTCAACAAGAGCAAGAGATCCTCAATTTCTTCAAAATAAGAAATCACAACCAAACACTATATACGTTTATATAACTTTAAAGCAAACAACTTGTCCTAAACAGTACACCCCAGAAGTTGTGGAAGATGTGGAACATAAAAATATTGATGACAGCCTTGATTAATATGTAGTCAATAAAAATAGGAGATGTAATATATCCATTTACAGAAATTATATGGGGAAAATAAACAAATATTTAAATTACTACTGATCTGCTGATGTTTCACCCTTGATTTAGTGGAAGACAGGGTGATAAAGAGGTATGTAGGGAAGAATGAAGAAAGAGACTTTGTTGGATAGTAAAGGCAAAAAAGGCTATAATGTCTTCAAGACATTATATTTACATCCTTGGTAGTGCAATATATGGCTTTCAAACTCCAACTTAAATTATTAATGACTATATAACACATCTGTTTTCTTGACTGGGTTAATAGTGCTCAGTGCTAAAGGCAACAATTTGTAGCCAAGCATAACAGTAACAACAAAATGGTACATTTACATATAAACAGCTGTTCTAGAAATCTGAAACATGTTTCTACAATATACTGTACATTCAGATATCAAATGTGTATTTTCTTTTACTAAATACAAATGTATTAATTTTGCATTGTCTTTTTCACACCTTAAAATGCAGTTAAGTAAATTTGACAGATAGAAACTGAAATGTTTAATCATCAATGGTGTGGATGATAATTCAGAAAGCACACATATGCAGGTCCTAATCCTAAAAACTGAATAACGTTTACTAAAATAAATTTAAATAGAAGACCCTTTGGTAAGAAGCCTGACAAAGTACTTGATAGTAGGTGAAAATAAATTATTTACTTTGTGCATAGATCAATGCAGCCAATGCACAATATTGTAACAGTTACATGCACAAGTCTTGGTTTAAAAAATTAGAATCTGTGTAAAAAAAAAAAAAAAATAATAATAATATAATGTGCATAGAAAGAAGAAAACAGTTTTATTGTCATTCGCTGGAATGCCAATTATTTGAATCTGCCCTTACTGCTTTAGAAAAAAAATTCAGGCATGTTGCTCAGCTGCCAACTGCTAGAACTCAGAAGTTAGTCAATCTTCAGTTTTAAGTATTGAATTTGCGGATTCAAAAGGTACCCGGTTCATCTGTATAGATTCATCTGCACATAATACTGCCATTTACGGAACAAAGGCACAGAGAGGTGACAGTCTATAGAACCAAAACGAAAAATAAAAATCAGCGAGTCAGAAGTTTTAGCTTTGTGAACCAGCTGACCAGTGCTGATGGTTCTGTGGTGGAATTTTTTGAAGATGAAGGCGTAGTGTGCTTCTTAGCACCTTCTTCCTGATATGGCATTGTAGCACTGTTGTGAAGGTCCATATTCAAAAGGCCGCGGCTACCCCTTATATAGTCTGCACCTCTCACTAGCTGTCTGTCAGTTGATCGGCTGAAATAATTGCGAGAATTAACACTCTCTTCGATGATTGGTGCTATTCGTTCATTGCTGAAATATCTGGACAGAGCCTCATCACCTTGAAGGGAAAGCAAAAAGTACACTGTGATTTTAATTTGTATTTTGCTCATCATCCAAATAGCTTAAATCAATACTGAAGTCACCATAACCACTACAGATAACTGTGCATTTCATGATTGAATTCCCAGCCATTTTCTCAAACTCCACTCAACCGTATTATATTATTTTGAAGAAGCATTGTTTTTCACATGGCTAATAGTACAAAACTAATAGGACAGATCCTACTCAGCAGAGTGATTTGCTTAGTGCAAGCATGCAGTGACTTTGATTGGCCCATTAATTGGAGTGAGCGTTGCCATTTAAAAGTGGCAAATGTAAATTGATTCCTACGTTTCACAGGAAAGGAGAAAGAGTGTTGGGTCTCTGAGAAACCCTCTGTTCAATTTAGCTGATTTTCTGCAACACAGAACAATCAAAAGTGTAGTAGGAAAACTGGCTGTCAAGGGTCTTGGTAAAAAAAAATTAGTAAACAACAAGTGGCTTATTTCTGAAGAAACATTTGCACCGAGACAGTGTTTAAGCTCTTTGTTGCAAACTTTCGGGATAATGGAAACATTTAAGAATATCTATTTGATTGCTAGTCCATTATTTGTTGTATATTGATGTGTATAGGTCTATGTGAAAACAATACTTTCCAGGGTTAATAAAAAGTACAATAAATGTGACTTTATACTAGAGGTTATTATTTTGTGCATGACTTGCTTGTGATCCCCTATGATCCAGGCAGGATGTTGGGGAAGCAGAGAGTAAATGTGAGTAAGGTTTTGACTGCTTTTAAGAACATATTGCTCATATATGGGTATTTGGCCATGCAAATATTTCTTACCATGAAGTATAAGACCAATTTCTTTGCTATTCACTTATGCAGTGTACAAATGTGCACTATAAGTAGATTGCATGAATGATGCACACTTAATTTAGACATTCTATCACTGTCAGTGTCATGACGAAGATGGACACACTATTTGACCAGTAGGAGGAGCAACGATGCTGAGGATAGTATTTATTAGGAGAGTATACACAAAATTAAACCATTATACTCAAGACACTAAATATTGAATACCAGTTAAAAACCAAACATCATAATGTGGGCTAAAATAGCCAAGCTGTGACTATTATATGCTAGATTAAATTAGACCCTCTCACAGGTGACTCATTCAATGGCCCTGTTTAACCTTGCACTGCAGAGAGTCTCAGGAGGAAGCATTTCCCAAATAAGAGGATTAATCTCATAAGAGCAGGCATTAGGTTGCTAGGATAGGACAGCCCCATATTTGACCCTGCAACTTTCCAAAACACCATGAAACCTGTACATGGGAGCATCGTTGTACTCATGGGACGTCACAGCATATAAATATTTTGTTTTATTGCAGTAAAAGCTAACAGTATTAGGACATTAACAGTTAAAATACCATGCAGAATTTGGAAATCCAAATGTCTTAATTTCTCACACTTTTGCAGCTTTTATTTAATGTGTTTTCATATCTGAATATTTGATGAAAGCCACATTTCTCCTGAACAGAGTGATTTTTAGTAAGTGTGGATGTACTTAATATGAAAGAGGTAAGTTATGGTTGAACAGCCATGTAGCTCAAATTCTAGATTTAGTTTTGGTTCAAAACTTGGACAATTGCCTCTTTCCTTAAGGAGTAACAGACTATGGACTATGAAACAAAGTTTTATATTTTAACATTATTCCTTCCTTAATGACCTACACGTATCTTGTTACCTTTCTTTCCTGCGACCCTGTGCCTTGAATAGGTTTCTGCAGACACCATCCAGCTTGCTTCTGCGGGCATTGATAAAGGCCGAGGCTTGCCTGTAGACACATACAAAATATCAATGTTTAACTTTCTTAATGAAAAAATGCTTAGTTGACAAAAAAAAACAAAAAACAACAAATAAATACTTTTGTAGAAACATGTACTACAATGGAATGATATATTCCAGTAATCAAACTTATTTAAGGATTAAGCTAGTTTGTAATTGATGCATATAGTCTACAATTGCTTTGATTACATGTACACATTTTGTCTTTGTTTGGCAAGAAATGGGGTAGTTAATAGGAAATTAACAAATAAATCTATAAATAAATTAAACTTGAGAACAACAAACCTTTCTAGGGAAGCCCACAGGTAAGATACTCTGGTATTGTAGAATTACAACTGCCATGATGTTTTGACAGCCTTTAAAATTGCAAAGCATCATGGAAGTTGTAGTTCTACCTTTTGGCCATCCTAGATATTCGTCCATAAAAGATGTGTTGATAATGCATTCAATGAAGTATTGATTTCAAATACTGGTTTAAATAGATTCATGATTACAAAATTATCAACTTGAACATTCAATAAATTTAGCATTATTGGTTCCAAGCTAGAAAATGATTTAACACTTTGTGATCTTTCGATCTCATGGAAATTACATTTTAAATTTTTACATAGTTACATAGCTATACATGTGTGGTTATACTCTCTAGGTCCCAAGCATTGACAGTAAATGGTTTTGCCACTGATTTCAGTGAGAGGTGAAGACTGACAATTAAGTCATAGTAGTAGGATTTGAGCACATGTAAGACCTGCAAAACAGTCACCTTTTCCTACATTTAGACAGGTAACCTTTCACTAATACAGGTGGCTCTGCCAGAATGCGTAATCCAACCCTATTTATGCAAGATTTGAAATATCCACTATAGGGGGTATTGAAGACAGGGCATAGAGACCCTCTTGTCTAGACAAGTCAAAATTAGTCAACACATCTAAAAAAAAAAAAAAAAAAACTAAAGTAGAAGGGAAGATCAGTTGTGTGTTTGATACTACTTTGATCTACCCATATCTTGATTTGTTTGAATAATCTGTACATGAATCAATTGTTACAAGTAAACCTTGTGCTTTGTTTTGTAAAATAACTTTGGAGAGGATATTACTATCTTGTGTTGATCTTTTATGAGAATTTGTAAGAAGTAAAAAAAAATGACTATCTTTTAACATTATTTTTTTCTTGATGAGATATTGTAATAAGAAAGTATTGCTAGTCACTTTTTTAAGACATCTACATTCATTCTGCCACTCTACTTTAAAGGACCACTCTAGGCACCCAGACCACTTCAGCTTAATGAAGTGGTCTGGGTGCCTGGTCCAGCTAGGGTTAACTTATTTTTTTTATAAACATAGCAGTTTCAGAGAAACTGCTATGTTTATAAATGAGTTAATCCAGCCTCTAAAGCCTCTAGTGGCTGTCTCATAGACAGCCGCTAGAGGCGTTTGCGTGCTTCTCACTGTGAAAATCACAGTGAGAAGACGCAAGCGTCCATAGGAAAGCACTATGAATGCTTTCCTATGAGACTGGCTGAATGCGCGCGGAGCTCCTGCCACGCATGCGCATTCAGCCGAAGAGGAGGAGAAGAGGCGGAGAGGAGGAGGAGAGCTCCCTGCCCGGCGCTGGAGAAAGGTGAGTGTTTAACCCCTTCCTCTCCCCAGAGCCCGGCGGGAGGGGGTCCCTGAGGGTGGGGGCACCCTCAGAGCACTATAGTGCCAGGAAAACAAGTATGTTTTCCTGGCACTATAGTGGTCCTTTAAATTGTTTATTCTAAAAAGGATCACATTCTGAACTATGCTCATGATGATCAAAGGTTTGGTGGCTGTTAAGTTAGTATCATTTTCTTTCAAATTTCATGTATAATATTATAATTTTTTGTTTGTTATTTCAACGAGTGCAACATATTTCAAATTCCATGTACGTTGGGTAACTTCTTTGCAAGAAAACCTGTAATACACAGTCCGATCCGTAATGCACAGTGAGGCTGACATGGTTTAACCTGCCATACTTAATGTGCTTTGGAGCCACTCCTGGGCTGTTATTTGAAGCTGCCGCCATTAATTCAGTCCCTCTCCCTATACTGATAAACTGGTAAAAGAGCTGGGGAGAAAAAGACTGCAATTTTCTGTTGACATTTGCTTTTTTACCATTATCACTAGAGAAAGGGCTGACATAATAAAAGCAGCAATATCACAAGCTGCCCGGGAACATATATGTGCTGCCTTCTAAAAAATATTTTAGTAACAATTATACACATGTATTAGAAAAAATAATATTGGTCCTGAGGAAAGTTCCCAAGTGGGACTGAAACTTCAACCTCATTTAACATGTACCTGTTGCCACACAGCATTGTAGAGTTAATTTCTTAATGGATAAATAAAGGAATACATTTTTCTACAAGAAGACTGTGAGTGCAGCCAAATCTTTACATATTGTTTAGAAATTATGTCATATCTGGTTTCTGGAGACATTCACAAAACACTTAACCTTTATTGTGTGTATCCATTATTTAGACATTATATAATTATAATATCCTTTCTGTTCTTTCATTGCTTGAAGAAACTTGAGAAACGTAGCTTACCATACAATGGTGTTTTTTCTCTAAGTTTTGCAGGCTGTACTTTTACTTCCACTGGGTATGTGGTAAGTTGGTCCGAGTCAGCAATAGTAAATCGTCGCCTACGGCTCTCTTTATCAAGGTATGAGTTAGGCGACTCAGAACCCTTTGATCCAGGTAAAGGACGTGAGTCTCTGTATACGCCACTGTACCCAAAAGTTGCCTTCTCATCTCTAAAAAGAAAAAGGAGTGAAAATATGTTAGTCAAGTCAGTGTGCACCCGCTCTATTATGAGATACTACTTCTTGACTTTACTGATGCTGCTACTTGAAAGCCTATGTTGGGCTTTCACATACATAAACCGTATCCAAGCCAAAATAAACACCTGTTGCGAGTAAAACAAATTTAACTTAGCAACGGCTCTACATCTGTTCAAGGTGGGGTCTCATCATTTATTTATATAGAGCCAAAATTATATTTTCATCATGTGAATCAATACCACTTTTTAAACATAGGTGCGAAAATGCCACTAGGATCTCCGGGCTAATTTTGTTTTAGTTTCTGCATCTATTTTATGTTTGGTTTCAGCATCCCAAGTATGCTAACACCCAACAATGTGTGAGTCCAATTCTTCTCTATTAAAAGCAATTGATTGGAGGATTGCAATGCATGTTGTACATGTGTCGTATGTCCTCCTTGCGTGTTTCAGCTGTGTCAGACTAGACACAGCTTATCAAAGCTTGCCGACAACTCAAAGATGGAGAGTCAGACGGCAGTAAGGAGTCTTTTCTGGTGCAGATTACAAATGAGTTTAGTGAGTGGTGTTTTTTAATTAATTAATTAATTTTTTAATTTTACTTTTTTTTTTTTTTCTAAAGCAATAGAACTATTAGAACTATTAGCCATAAGGAGCAGTTTTAATTAGTGTATTCAAAACATATTCCAGAAAAATGGATTCATTGGCATTTCTTCTTACTTACCGAGGAGAGTAAGGGATACTTGGTGGTGGGGGGATATAAAGATCTAGGATGGCAGGCTTCTCTTTTTTCAATGAACTATCCAACGTGCTTTCTGGTGATTGTGTTGTAGTTGTTGGAGGACTTGTCTAAAATGACAATCAATATTCTTTATTAGTAAAGTATATTACATACTAGTAAACATGCACGTAGGCAGATATTGTTACAGATTACATGGCTTTTTTTGACTCTTCAGATGGAACAAGAACAACTGTGTAATGTACAGTAGGTATGACACTGTGTTAACAACTAAAAGTGTTGAAATATCCGGCTAAATTGGTATCTATAGTGCATCTTCTGGTATTTTGGTAGTAGAGGGTAAAAACTGACAGCAAAATGTAACGTATGTATGTTTCTGGTTGTAATGCCACATACAGTAAAATAACTGCCCCTTTCAAATCAGGCAGCTATATTAATAAAACCCCTTGCTATTTGAAAATAGTCTAATCTAATCACTGCAAACCCACTTGCAGGCACCTCTACATTGCAGAATTGAATACAATACCTTGTCGATTTTAAATTGTAATTCAAGAAACAAAGATGGTTAAGTATACATTTCCAGAAAATAAAATAAAAATTATATCATTATTAATAGCATATCATACCTGAACAAGTGGAGGTCTCCATCGCAGGTTCTTTAAAGGTGCAGGTGTAAAATTAAAAGTTCCTGTAGGTCTCTTTTTCAGGACAAGTGTGACTTCACCAGCATTTTCTCTGAGTCTAGCCACAAGATTCTTTAATTGCCACCCAACCTGCAAACATCACATATGAACTGAATGTTTGACTTTCGGCACACACAATTTGTTGCCAAGCAGGTCAACAGAACGAACGCTGCTTTTCATAAACAAATATTGCAGGATTCAAATTATACATTAGCACATTATATCACAAGATGCCACCTGGTTCAAAAAAAACTTACTGCTTAATAATATAATAGCATTTGTGTGGGATTAAGTTTGTTGATTAAATAAATAAATATTATTAATACTATAATAATCTGCGTTCAAGAACAGATTGCTTATAACTCCATATCCATATGTTGCTTAGTTTTAGTGTTGTATTGACTTGCCTTGATTTCATATTAAAGTCCCATTATTGTGAATTTTATAACATGACAGGAGGCTTCGTATTTGCTTAAGACTTTCTTTACTTAAGCTTCACAGCAGCACTTTTTCACATAGTAACAAGGTAACCAATAAGAAAAAAGGAATAACAAGGTATATAGGTCCCTCCCAGTGATGTCATTTCCTCTTTCTTTGCTGCTTCACACCAGTACAGGTCAGAGTGCCACTGTCTCCTACTTTTGTGGGGGGGGGTTTTCTATGATTTATCTAATATTATATCTATCATCTGTTTTATTCTTATTTCTTTAGTATATTATTCATATGTATATTTTTACCATTTATTCTATTTCTGACCGATTTATTTTTTCCCATCTCTATCTTCTATGTGGTATTTCTCCTCTACTTTCTTCTTTCCACCTTTATTTTTTGGTTACTGTCTCTTTTATAATTATTGTATTATTGGTTTTGTACCTCTTTAACCCAGTTTCTCCGTGCGGCATTTTTGCCGCGTTTTCCCGGGCTTTTGGTCCTTGGAGTACGCCTCCAACGGTCCCCAGGGCGCGCGGCGGCCATCTTGGATCTCGCTCCCTGCGAGATCCAAACGGCTCTCTCCTTTCACTGCTGCGCGAGCGCGCGAGATCGCGGCGGCCATTTTCTTGGAGCCGCGATCTCCATTCACTCCGGCCGTGCGGCGGCCATTTTTTACCTTTCTACTTGTTAGTCACATAACTTTTATGTACAACATTAACACCTCATATCAAATAATTATACCAAGCGTTCTCTATCTGTTTACTCCTTCTCTAACAAGGAAGGAGTTTGACTCCACATACAGTCTCATCCCTGTATCTCTCTACTTCCCTCTGGTGGTAGATTATAGGTACTACATATATAAATTAATCTCAATATATTTATTTCAACTGCAACAAATTTATTACCCAAACAGTTTCCCATATAAACTTTATATTGCAACTCATATCTACACTATGCATGTGTATAAGGTAAACACATAAAACTAAATTACGATTGCTGTTATCATATACAGCCCATGATTGGCCCGCTTTGTCTGTGCCACTATACCTCTATACGGGTTTGAAAAAGTATTCCCTGAGGTGATTTATACTGGGTGACCCCCACTTACAGCTTGCAATCTGAATAATATCTTACTGTGATATCTCGAGACGGCCTTATTAATACACTCTAACACTGGCCTATTCTGCCCCATAGGTACCAACTGTTGCTATGGAGGCTTCAAATCAAGATCAAAACTTGCAAGCTATTATAAATGCAGCCGTAGCTGCTTCACTTGAAAAGGCCCTGGCTCGGGTGCTGCCCATTGAGCAAAAAGACCCTAAAATTTCCGACACCCCGCTTTCTGACGAAGATGCGGAGGATTCCGATTCCACAAAAAGAAACCCTTCCAAACCATATAAACGTTATTGGAAAGGGAATGGGCCTGAACCCCTCAAGCGTAAGGGGAAAGAACCGGCGAAACGCCCCAAACAGGTGGATGCTAGAGAGAAACACTCCATCCAACCTACTCTGTCGGAAGAAGGGGAAGACTCTTTTGACTTACATCCCTTAGCCATCCTAGATGAATGGCAAGCTGACCACTCCTCAGAAAATGAGGAGGACTGGCCCGAGACTTCCATAAAAGGGCCACCTCTCCCTCAGTCGACTATGGGAGACCTCCCATCTGAAGTTATTTTACCCGGATCACTTCCATCTGGGGACACTGAACCTTTTCTGGATACGCTTGGTCAACCGCTTTTTGACCCAAGACAAATCAGATATCCTCGATCATCCGAATGGTCACTACCAGACCATCTTTCCCAGTATATTCATTTTTGGATCAGAAGACCCCTGGATCGGGAGGTCCGCAAACGACTACGAGCTGAATGCCCCAGACCCACTCTACCGGATAAGGTCGCGGTGACCCCAGAATTTGACACGCTGCTCTACACATATTTGGCTAGATCGGGCCGTGACCCAAAAAAGGGCATTGAACGCAGCCTACGCCTAACCCAAGACAAAATGCTGGACATCCTAGGACCTCTGGCAAAACTTATTCTACTGGCTGATGAAGCCTTATCTAATGAAGGCCCTCTATACCCATCTGTGATCAGAGAATGGGCTCTACGCTCTATTTGCCTGCTGGGCAATGCTAATACATCCCTCTGTACTGAGCGTAGAAAAGCAGTGCTGCTGCGTATGGATGCTAAGTTAGCTGACTTGGGAACCAAGGAATTGGGCCCCAAAGCACAGGGTCTATTGTTTGGAGAACCCTACATTAAAGAATTACATAAACATGTAAACTTATACGCCACACTAAACAAGGCGCAATCATCCATGAAAAGAGTATTTCACTATCAACCCTCACGGGTTTTTGGCAGGGCTGGCCGTACAAGGGGTCGCACAGTCAGCCGTTTCTGGTCCACAAACCAACGCCAGAGAACCCCAACTTCATCTTTCTTCCCCAACTATCAACCAAGAGGCTCTTACTCCCAAAGGGCGGATAGAGGAAGAGGATACAGAACCCGCGGACGCAGTAGATACCCAACAGGTGAGATTTCCTTCCTTTCACCTTTCTACTGTTTATCATGCGGGCAGGTTGTCACACTGTGTAGACATGTGGAAGACCCTGTCTTCAGATACCTGGGTCCTAAACACAGTTCAGGGTTTCTACATAGAGTTTCATTCTCTCCCTTCTCAAACAGGTTATCCTCACTATCCTAAAATGTCAAGGGCTCAGAGTCTTCACCTAGATTCAGAACTACGTTCTCTGCTAACAAAAGGAGCGATCCAACTCGCTCCACCCGACGAAGGTTTCCTCAGCTCCATCTTCTTAGTCAAGAAGAAGTCAGGGGAATTTCGCCCAGTCATCAACCTTCGTCAACTGAACTCTTTTGTTATTTATCGACATTTCAAAATGGAAGGGATTCACCTCCTCAGAGACATCCTCCGACCAGGCGACTGGTTCACCCGTCTCGACCTCAAGGACGCTTACCTTTCGGTGCCAGTACACCCTTCAAGCCGGCGTTTTCTCCGCTTTCATTGGCACCACCGAATTTTCCAATTCACCTGTCTTCCATTTGGCCTGAGTTCCGCTCCGTGGTGCTTCACCAAACTCCTCAAGCCAGTCACCACACATCTGCGAGAAAGGGGCATCCGTTGTTTAATCTACCTCGACGACCTCTTGCTTCTCTGCGAAGACGTATCCAAACTGCGTTCACAGACGAACTATACTTCTGTATTAATCGAATCCTTAGGGTTTGTCATAAACCAAGAGAAATCGTCACTGTCCCCAACCAGAGTCATTCAATTTCTCGGATTCGAAATCGACTCTTCAACCTGTGTTCTTCGCCTACCTCAGTCCAAGTTATCCGCGATCAAGAAGGAACTACGCAAAACACTTCGTCAACAGGATTTACCTCTTCGAGGATTAGCTCGGGTAGTAGGCCTACTCTCTGCCTCCATTCAGGCAATCTACCCAGGCCCCCTTCACTACCGGGCCATGCAACGCCTGAAAGCTCAATTCCTCCGGTCCCATCCATCATACGAGCAGAGGGTCCCGATCACTCCGGAGGTGAAAGAGGAACTCCGTTGGTGGCTCCACCACATGTCGGCCTGGAACGGCAAAGCTATTTTCGGTCCCACCCCAGACTTCGTGGTGGAATCAGATGCGAGCCTCCAGGGTTGGGGCGCAACCTGTCATACAACCTCCACCGGAGGACCATGGACCACCTCAGAACACCTCCTCCACATCAATTGTCTGGAGTTAATCGCAGGCTCATTCGCTATTCGCAGTTTGACCAATCATCTCTCAAACTGCTGTATTCTCCTTCGGATGGACAATATCTCTGCCGTCCAATACATCAACAAATTGGGCGGGGCCAGATCTCACATCCTCTCCGAAGTGACAAAAGACATCTACGAGTTTTGCTTCCAACGCAACATCACTCTTCGGGCAGAATATCTCCCAGAGGAGACGAATATTACCGCAGATTGGTTCTCCCGACATTGGAGAGATGGCAGCGACTGGCGCCTACACAGAACGATCTTTCTCCACATCTCCAAACTCAGGGGTCCATTTACCTTAGACCTTTTCGCCTCCCGGACGAACTTTCAAGTCCCACGGTTTTTCAGCTGGCTTCCAGACCCAGAATGCTCGGCTGTGGACGCCTTCCTTCAGAGTTGGCCGACGACGGGAGCCTATGCTTTTCCTCCATTTGCGATGATTCCCAGAGTCCTCCTGCAGATTCGCAGACAACAGATCGCTCTTGTTTTAATTACCCCGCTCTGGCGGGGCCAAGCATGGTTTCCGGATCTTCTGGACCTCTCCTACCAAGACCCTCTCCTTCTGCCTCCATGGCCCAACCTCCTGGAGGATCCTCAAGGAAATCCTCATCCAATGATAATGCAAGACCACCTCCACCTAGTGGCTTGGACTCTTTCAGGGGAACCTGGCACTTCGGAGGACTATCGCAGAGATCTAAGGAACTCCTCTGGGATTCGTGGGCTCCTGGAACTAGAAGATGATATCTCTCCACCTGGAACACTTGGTGCAATTGGTGCCTGGAATGGAATACCGATCCCCTTACGGCCCCTAGACAGTTCATATTGAATTTTCTCTCTCATCTATTCGATCTAGGCCTTTCCTACCGATCCATCAACGTTTCCCGTTCAGCCATCTCGGCAGCCCATGTCCCTCTAGAAGGGGTTCCAGTGGGCCAGGATCAGCTGGTTTGTAGACTATTGCGGGGCATCAAACTGGCTCGCCCCCCTAAACCGAAATACTCCCATCTGTGGGACGTTAATGTCATAATTCATTTTCTCGAGACTTGGTCAAACAACGAGGATCTATCCCTCCGTCAACTCTCAGCCAAATTCACCCTGTTACTTTGCTTAGTGTCCTTCCGAAGAGTTTCGGATGTTCGAGCCTTTGACCATGACGCTATCAACTTTTCCCCAGAGGGTGTCACCTTTTCCGTGACCAGGCGGACGAAATCAAACTCCTCTTCGATTTTTTACCCTTATTTCCCGAACCACCCGAAATTGTGTGTGGTATCTCTTCTTTCTCGTTATTTATCACTCACCTCATCTATCCGTCCTACTTCCTCCAGCCAGCTATTGGTCTCATATGTCCGGCCTCATAATCCAGTGTCAACCACAACTCTTGCCCGATGGGTTAGGTGGTTGCTCTCCCTAGCCGGGATTGAAACCTCCTTCGGAGCCCACTCCATCAGAGGAGCGGCAGCATCGGGGGCATTCAGCGCTTGTGCCTCACTTCGAGACATACTTCACTCCGCAGACTGGTCCCGAGAACAGACGTTCCGCAAATTCTATTTTCGTCCGGCTGCGCACGCTTCCTTGGCCCTTCTCGGGGAGCGTTAAAACAGCAAATACGAAGCCTCCTGTCATGTTATAAAATTGTAGATTATGCTAGCTTTAGTGTACCTATAATCTTAATTTTATTAATGACAGGAGGCGAGTATTTCCCACCACTCCTACTTTCGTTTTTTCCCACCCTAGGGTCGCCTCTGTAGGTAAGTTTCTAAAACAAGAACGAACACACTATGCCTTACTATCATGGGGTTAGGAGTTATTTTTCTATGATGTATAGATTAACTTTTCTAGCGAGCTATAATGTATGTTTCATATCAACTGGTTATCATAATTTCAAAGTCCAATTCACGGATTAATCCTTGGCTTCGACTCTGCTCTCTCGTTTCAGCATAAAACTCCCTTAAGAGATCCAGCCTAGTTGCTGCTCCATCACAAGCTTCTCCTCTACTCCTCAAGTTCTCAAGTCTACGTTCCTGTCTCCCTCTCAAGCATCACTCTTCAAGTCTGGCATCCTGAATCACTCATCTACTTCCTTCAGTTCCGGTTCCTATTGGTTCGCAGCCAGAAAGAGGAAATGACATCACTGGGAGGGACCTATATACCGTGTTATTCCTTTTTTCTTATTGGTTACCTTGTTACTATGTGAAAAAGTGCTGCTGTGAAGCTTAAGTAAAGAAAGTCTTAAGCAAATACTCGCCTCCTGTCATTAATAAAATTAAGATTATAGGTACACTAAAGCTAGCATAATCTACAATTGTAATAAAATTAGAATATAAGAAAACTTCTGATGAACATATTGATGAATAAATCTGAGATGTGAACAAACTGAAAGGAACACTGTAAGCATCATAACAACCTTTTCCACAAGGTTATGCTGTGTAATAGGTCTATTTACATGTTTTCATGAATGAAACTACTTTTGGGAGTTCAATGATCCCACTGACAACAACGAGATGCAGATGACTGGCAAAGGGATTCAGCAAACACAGGAACATGAAAGATGAGCATAAAAAAGATTGCGTTTTATTATTTTATTTTGCATATTTTAATGCATTATCTATATAACACATTAAATGGGTTTAGCCCCACCATAAGGTATCCTATATTTTGAATGTATTCAAGGTTTACCTAGTTATTGAATACAAGAAAATATTTTTGCCTTAATACAAACAATCTTACCACTGTCTGCTGATTAACTTGTATCACTTCATCGCCAGCATGAATCTTCCGGGATGAATCGGCTGGAGACTAAAACAAGAGAACAGGGCATAATGAAAACAATTGGGAGTTGCCCAGACCTGTCTTTTCTATTATTTCCTATAGCTTTAAGCAGGTTCAGTATTGTGTCTAGAGACTAATCTTGATTAATGTTAACTTGTTAAAATACAAATATAATATTTGCCAGTTGCAACCAAATGAAACATCGTGCAAAACAATTTGCTCTATAAAAGTGATATAATTTTACTGCAAAAGTAAAATAAGAATGCATTTTTTTTTTTTTTTTTAAAAACGAAAAAAAAATTAAAATGATTTTATGCCTGGTTGACTTTAGTGGACTTCTTATAGCAGCCCCAATAACTGATGCTTTTCATAAATACAAAGCTTTTTTTATTGTGTAAAACTTCCAAATTACATTACCAAAAGATCATCCAGTTTTTTCAGTTTTAGGATATTTACTGCACAGTGAATTGTAGTGAAATAAAAACTGTCTTTGATGAATTTGAGACACAACAGCCTATTGCTATCAGGGTCTTAATTTAGAAAATTACAATTTAAATTTTACTACAAGTCACTGTTTAATGGAAGAAAAAAAAAAACATTTGTGGATTTGAGTTATTGTCCAAATATGACCTATGTCAGATATCAAAAAAGAGGTATGTGCAGCACACTCTTGGCAATACATTTTCAACAGGACATCAACGTATCTAAATACATTTACATTAATTAAGTAGGCAGCAAATATTGTGCAAGCTATTCTCAATAGGGGACACAAAGAAAAGTAGAAACAACAAAAACATTCCTGCTGTCAAAATGACAAAGCCTATAGCTGAGGCCTTAACAAGAATAGCAGAACAAAAAAGATTATTTGCATAGGCCTAGTAATCCGATCAAAAAGCATGTGCTCTGCTGACTGGGAACGAGTTTCACTTTTTATTGTAGGCCTCATTTAACAGGAGTTTTGCCTAAACACACTCAATGCGCTTTGTCTTTAAAGGCATGGAGAAAATAAACTCTCTCCGTTCGCACACTGTGCCTTTAACTGCCCTTCTGTCCAGTTGATAAACTGCAGACTTGGGCGCTGGGATGGGATGAATGGAAACTTGTTGGTTATAGGAATGTTCCATAGGAAAAAAATATTCATAAGAACGAGCAGGCTGGCTTGATAAAGAAGAGTAAGGAATATGAATGAGGCTCTTATTCATTCTACCAGTGTGTCTCAACCCTATATCACTTGAAAGCAAGCATTATGTAAAGATTTGCAGTATATTTTTTGCTAAATTATTTAGCGTGTTTATATGTTGATGAGAAAATGTGCTATACAAATTATATAAAACAGATGTAGCACAACTTTAATTTTCAAAATTCTGTATAAAATAATCCAGATTTGGGGGCCAGAGGCAACAAAAAATGGGTTTTTGGCTGTTGTACAATAATGGCCCAGATATATCTTATTCAAATTAGGGATGGTCAACTGCATTTGACAAAAGTCATGCTGGCCTAGTGAATGAAAGCATGAGAGCAATTTTCAATATTAAAAAAATAATGTAGATGGCCAATAGATGGTGATCTAGAGTTTTTCTAATTAGTCTGTTACAAGAGAAATGTTACTAATATTTTCCAATAATGCATTGTGATTTTCTTTTTTCTTTTTTTAAGCATGACCAAGGTTTAAGTAATGGGCCAAGGGAGAAATGACAGAAAACTGTGAATGAGACAAGTAGAATTGGGGGTGTTTATCAAACTGTAGGAAAGAACAAAAATGGCACAGAGGTTGCAATTTTAAGGTGAAAGGGAAAAGATAAAGAAATTTTAGCTGGGTTTGCAAGCAGCGTGAGAACATTTAATATCTTAAAGGCAGGAGTGGGAGCAGTTATCAGGTTACAGTTGTGAAGGAAGGGAAATAATTAGGTAAATATCATCAATATGTAATAAAATTACTATTTAATACAACTGTAATAACTTTAATTATATGACTAATGTACTCTACATACTACATGAATACACACAGGTGCAGGCCTGTAAAGGTATTAGCGATAAGTAGAGAGTAGTTATTACTTTAACACATGCTTATGTTAATGCATCTTTGTAATATTGCAGATGGCTGTGCATATTAATACAAATTCTACCACAGTGTCCTAATATCACTGCCTCTGCAATGCTGTTGCTTATTTTATAGGGATTTTTCAGATCAGAACCCCGAATGTTGATTGGATTTTTTTTTTTACAGCCAACTATAACTTTAACAAGAGGAATATTTAGGTCAGTTCATAACAGCTTACGTTAGTTATTCAGTAAAAATATCTCTGTCCCTATACATGGGTATTTGCTGATAGCACCATTATGGATCCCCGTGAAGTAGCCAGAATGAGCCAAATTAACTTTTAATGGTTGTAAAGGTCATTTGTGAGTGTGTGTTTTAAAGTGATACACCTGTATAGTTGATTGATGGACTAATATGTGATCAGAAAATTGAATAAATTCCTATTCTCACACTGCTTTTAACTTGTGATTAGTTTTCATTATTGAAATTACTTAGCATTTTGATAGGAAACTATAAAAAGAGAATAGTGACTTATCGGATATACAATAAGCCATTGTATTTTTTTAGCATGCGACCTGTGTGAGAAACTTTAGAACTTAGTAATGTGGTTTTAACAGGGTGTGGTTTTCAAGATACCATTAACAAAATGCTTACATTGTGTAAATAGTCATATGGAGCAATGGTATCCTTAGAGTCATGTTTCCTTTGATTGTGAGAGAAGTAAAGTCAGATACAGTATCAATCCTTTAGTCTTTAAATTTTAAATAGTAAGATTAAAATTTTCCATAGTACGTCAATAACACTATCATGCCACAACTGGCACAACTGTGTTCTAAAATGTTTTGGTACATAACACTGCTTGACAATCTAATGTGACATCATTAAGGTGAAACTACTGTCCTTCCAACCCCTTAAATGTATGTTTTTGCCTTAGTTTTCAAACTGAAAACAAAAACAGTATATGATTAAAATCTATTTCCATGAGAAACTTTCTACTGTTGTCTTTATTTTCTAATAAGCTGAGGGTGATTAGTAATTTCACAATGAAAAATATATAGCAAAATCCACTAATAGCTAAAAAGCAATGTTGTTAAAATGATTTTATTTTCCAAAACCAACTACGACTAATGCAGTACATATAGTTGACATTTAAATAACACATAATGCCAAGGCCAATGGTTCTTCTAAGCAACTTACATCCAAATATACCATTCTCAAGAACAATGTGAAAATCGAACATGTTTTATTTTAACATTGCACTACTTGCTCTTTAGTTATCAAAAGACAATCATTCATCTAATTAAAACCACACTCTGAATGCACCATAACAATTGCAGCACAGTGTAGTGGTTATGATAGGCGTACTCTCTCAGAAAATTAATCAATGCCTACAGTGGCATCTTTCTTCACATGCTCAAGAAAATCAGGTGCAGCACTGGTACCCAATGAAGTCCAAGGTTAAGGTCAAACTGAGCTAAAACCACACAAGGTCACCCCTTGACTATGGTGTTGGAAGTGTTCCTTTAATGACTATTTTATTCTGTAGTTTTATAAAATTTTGCATTTATGATAATCAGTAAAGATTATGTTAAAGTAAAGAGAAATAATCTAAGACAAAATGGTTAATTACAAAAATCTGAATTGTTGGGAATTTATAATGAATTCAAACTGCATTTAAAATGGTACATATGTGAGAATGTTTCCTATTTGGTTGTTTGGAATTAAAATGTAGGATTTCCTTTGACTTCCTGAAAATGCACACTTTAGTGAATATCCCTGAAATGTTTCTCTTGCTCAAGCTAGGTTCTCTGCTGCTGCTAAAATTTAATAGATTGTCATTTCACAGTACAATAGTGTGAGACTGCTAGTATGAATAATAGAGTTGTGTAAAATGTTATGTTAGTTTAAAGAACTTTTATAACCTTCTTTTTCTAAATTATTCAACTTGACCCTTGCATACAGATAGTCAATGAACAATGCCCACTCATCCAGCTGCCTCAAGTAAAAGTCTTTACACCAGGGATGCACAAAATGTATATCCCCAGATGTTGTAGAACTACAACTCCCACAGTGCGTTGCATGTTTTTAGAATGCCTTTATAATGACAAAGCATCATGGAAGCTGTAGTTCTAAAATATCTGGGGACCCAGCTTTTGAGAACCCCTGCTTTACACCATCAGTTCTCGAAACATTACTGAAGGATGGTCATTGGCTCTAGTATTGGAGTTGTACATTTGTGCTCCAAGGAAATCAACGCACCCTTGGTCTAAATTTTGAACTTTGATTTTCACTACAATAATGGCATCACTCTCATGTTTACATTTAAAATGCATGATGTTCATCTAGTTTCACCAAACATTTCTTACTCAAGTGTTCCATTTAGTAAAATTAATGAGCATTACACGTGCCTGAAAAGCGCATATATTCATACTAACCCTAGAGACATACAGACTAGTTAAAGCAAGAAGCAAAATAATGAACATGGTAGATTACTTACATTTTCTGTAGTGCCTGTTATAACATGAAGTCCATCATAAGTGGATTTGATATACATCCCCTAGGGTAAGGAAAAAAAGGATTAAAATAATGTACACATATAGTTCTATATGCTTGGAGCAAATTGTCAGTGATGACAAGAAATAAAATGGCTAAATCATGAAGATTCGCTAGAGGGAAGCATTCATTGCAATACAGCTGTTACATATCTGAAGGTCTATTTTAACCTTTTTGAGACTTTCCAATTTCAAACAGCTGATTGAACTTCGGACCACCTCTGCATGATGGATGGATTAGTCGATGGATAGACAGGCAGATACAGTATAACTATTTTATTCTCAGTAGCATATATAATTACATAAAATTAAATAAAGGAAGGGAAAAAGGAAAGGTTCCACGTTTGCATTGGTGGGGGATGGATACTTGGATGGATAGATAATAAATAGATATACAGACAGAGATTAGAGATATAGTATAACTTTTTAATATCGCTTATATATATGATAAAAAGGAAATTTAAAGGAAGTGATAAAGGAAAGGTTAATGTGGAATGCGACTTACCAGACCTTCCCCGGGTTTAATATTGGTCAGGTGAACTTCTTCTAGACAGGCACTTTGACTTGTGAGGGGGTCTGTGGTAAATTTGATTGTCTTGTCACATATTCCATTTAGCACTTTGGACTGCAAAAAAAAAGTCGTTATTAATAAATTCATATGAGGTTTTGTGTTTTTCATTTATATAGCGGTGTCTTCACGTTAAAACTCACAAGACAATGGGTTTTATATTTAATGAATTGAAAACCGTATTGCAAAGTTTGGAAACTTTGGTCACAAATGTTAATATGAAAAGATTCTCCAACTCAGCTAAAGTTACAACTTTGCTGTTTTAGTCTAATTTTGCAATTCACTACAAGTCCACATGTAAAGGGACACTACAGAAACCCAGATCATTTCATCTCAATGAAGTGGTCTGGAAGCACTGTCACTGTCCCTCTTAGTCCTGCACTGTAAAACATTGCAGGTTTTGATAAATTGCAATGTTTACATTGCAGTACTAAGACAGCCTCTACACACACTAGAGGCACTTCCTGGAGTTTACCGGACTCTGGATCCCTTAAATGATGCTGGACGTCCAAAGGTTTGGCATAAGGACATCCAGTGTCAGTTAAATCCCCATAGGAAAGCATTGAGGCAATTCTTTCCTATAGGAAGGGCCTAATGTGTTTGCGGTACTCGCTGCATATATGCATTAGGTTCCCTTGTCGGATAAGTAAAAGTTTTTTTTTACCCTTTATCTGCCGGAGTGGGGGCTCAAGGAAGGTGGGAGCCAGAGGGCTCTATAGTGTTAGACTATAACTTTGTATTGCTAACACTATAGAATCCCTTTATCAAAGCAAAAACAACGTGAGTAGACAGTAGTCAACGAATACAATTAATTTCACTAACTTAACTTCATTCCAGCATTGCAGAGAGTAAATACACACTTTTCTAACAGGGTTATTCACTCAAGTGAGAATTCAAAATGAATTAAAAATTTTGAGTCTAAATAGCTGAATAGGAAAAATCAGTCAGTTTTGCTTCCAGCTAAGCTACTATGTCACAAAATTTAAGGTTCACACTGAATTCGCTTTGACTCATCATGCTAGTATATAATATTTTATAAACTGTTGGGTGTTTTAAGGTATATAAATAAAATATGAGATGAAAATCTTGTTGTAGCGGAGAGAAAAAAAAGATATATGCTCTGAAAACAAGCAATTTGAAATACACAGCAGACAAAGTAGAATTTTATTTTTTTTAAATGACACCTCCATGTAACTGAAACTGTCTAATATTTAAGGCCACATAAAAAAAAAAAAAAGAATATACTCTCTTGTTTTTTAACAGTTACTTTGTGTATAAATTAATCTGTATTACTAATACAATGAAATATTCCATGTATATACATATCTATCTATCTATCTATATTATTTTTTAAAACAACCATCTGAACTTGGGACCTTTAAAAGTTCTAAAGCATAGATGATGTATCCCTTATAAAACATTAGAGGAAAAATTCAAAGGGAAATCCTTTCTACTTGGCAAAACTATTGCATTTTTCAGCCAAGAAATAATTAATTAATTGAACTATTGTGCTAAATTCCATGTCCATCAAAAGGAAGGCTATTACTGAATCCAACTTCACTGAAGTGAAAAGCAGGAAGCCATGATTAAGTGCTGACAAAAGATATGAAGATCACCTTGTCATGTTTCAACAGTCAAAAGTGGAATAAAGCTGCACTTGAAAATGGCAGACTATAAATAGAGGAAAAGAGTTACCACATAGGAATTACCTTAACACTTTTACGATGAAATTTTAGCAGGCTGGACAAATATATCCAATTCTATGTCAGTGCTCAATGGGGCAGATCGGATCTCAGAATGTTTAGGAATGAATTATGTAAACAGCAGTTAACTTCACAGACAGGCTGTCAAATAGGAACCAAATGCATTTTTTTTATTTTGCACTATATGCCAAACTATGCTATATTTCCAAAACAACTTTGAGTGATACTGAATAGGATTTATCTAACAAGAAAATATTTGACTCTATTATCTTTTGAATAACATATTACCTTGCATAAAGTGCATTTAAGAGTCACAAACCACAACTTTGGTTTGGCAATGGACAGTTGTTAAAAAGAACAGCATTTCTTTCAATACAAAGTTTTTGTAAGTGTATTCTTAAAATATTGTTTCTCAGACTCCATTATGGTTTGTGTTAGCAGTGGACATAACACAGTACTTATTACTGGCAGGTACACAGCCACTAAAGGCACTTCTTCCTTAAAGGGACTCTCCTGACACCTAAATAACGTTAGCTGTTGAAAAGTTTTATATGTGAAGAGTGTGTCCTGTTTTTTCCACTTTACAAAAAGTGCAGATTTTGATGGAAATTGGCACTTTTATAAAGTAAACTTGTTACACCCCTTGGCTGTCAATTAGACACATGGTCCTGTTACTTCCTGGTTTGGTTAGCTCAGTGGAGCTAAACTCAAGAGGAAGCCAATTGCCCAGAGCACCTGCCTTGAAAATACTTCTCATTCAGCTGCATTAGAAAGTCTGTGATTGGACAGACACAGAACATCTGGACTGAGTTAGTAGGGGAGAGTTTGCAAAGGCTTTAGACAAGAGATCTGCTGCATTTGCAAGCAGTTTTAAATATAACCTGAATGAAAAAAAAAATAATAAAATAAATGCGTGCATGTTTTCGTTTGGAATATATCTACTAAACAGTGATTTTAGTTTTTTTTTTTTTTATATATATATATATTTAGCCAGTGGAGTGTCCCTTTAAAACCTTTTCTTTTTTTAAGATTCTCACATCAAATGTCATCACACATAACATGACATTATTGAACATGAAAACCACTAATACTTCTCACAGATATTTATTCCTGATTATTTCAGAGAAGGCAGAGAGGCTGCTGCAAGGGGTGGACTACAGATAAACGTTATGGCTAGTTTAAGTTTTTAATTAAGTTATCAAACAAACAAAAAATGTACCTGTATCTGAAGAGAGCAAGGAACACACTAAGACACTAACATTAAAGGGATACTATAGGCACCAATAAACCTTTAGCTTAAAGGAACACTATAGTCACCTAAATTACTTTAGCTATATAAAGCAGTTTTAGTGTATAGATCATTCCCCTGCAATTTCACTGCTCAATTCACTGTCAGTTAGGAGTTAAATCACTTTGTTTCTGTTTATGCAGCCCTAGCCACGCCTCCCCTGGCTATGATTGACAGAGCCTGCATGAAAAAAAAAACTGGTTTCACTTTCAAACAGATGTAATTTACCTTAAATAATTGTATCTCAATCTCTAAATTGAACTTTAATCACATACAGGAGGCTCCTGCGGGGTCTAGCAAGCTATTAACAGCAGGGGATAAGAAAATCTTAATTAAACAGAACTTGCAATAAAGAAAGCCTAAATATGTCTCTCTTTACAGGAAGTGTTTATGGAAGGCTGTGCAAGTCACATGCAGGGAGGTGTGACTAGGGTTCATAAACAAAGGAATTTAACTCCTAAATGGCAGAGGATTGAGCAGTGAGGCTGTAGGGGCATGTTCTATACACCAAAACTGCTTCATTAAGCTAAAGTTGTTCAGGTGACTATGGTGTCCCTTTAATGAAGCAGTTTTGAAGTATAAATCATGCCCCTGTAGTCTCACTGCTCAATTCTCTGCTATTTATGAGTCAAATAACTTATTTTATGCAGCCCTAGGCACACCTCCCTGCATGTGACTTGCAAAACCTTCCTAAACAGTATAAAGAGGGATCTAATGTTCACACTTCCTTTATCAGCATAATGCATCATTTAAATGTACTTATCTCCTGCTCTGTCAATAGCCTTCTAGACCCAGCAGGAGCATACTAATGTGTTTTCAAAGTTTAATTTACAGACCAGAAGATAAAAACTTATAAAACAAGTTAACATCTGACAGAAAAATGAAACTTTCTTTATGCAGGCTGTGTCAGTCACAACCAGGGGAGGTGTGGCAATGGCTGCATGGGCAGAAACAAAGGGGATTTAACTCCTGAATGATAGAGAATTGAGTGGTGAGATTATATAGGCATGATTTATACACCCACACTGTTAAAGTTGTTTTGATGCCTATTCTATTGCTTTAAAAAGAAATATATTGATTTTTAACCTTAGTGTTCTCTTAATAAATTACATTTCAAATAGGGTTTTTGCAAATCTTGTTCGAACTAAAGATACTTACAACATTAATCACTGTATCTTCCATTTCTGTGACAGAAGATTCCTGTAAGACAGAAAAGAGCAAAGCTAAACATCAACATCACTACAAACCATTTTTGCTTTACAGTTTTAGCCTGCTGACTTAATACATTTGAATTAATTGCTGTATATCTAGGTACACACTGAGCCATATTGAGAAACAATGTTTTATGGAGCTTTAGTATTTAATGCAACAAGTTTGGACAAATTACAGTCAATAACTAATACATGACAATTGCTATTAAATCAGTTGAAACTTATTAATCTATCTATCTATCTATCTATCTATAGACTATAGGTGCCAAGAAGAGCTTGCATTTTTGTTAACTTGCTTCAAAATGATTTTGGATAGCACTCATAAATTTACAATGTCATAATCATTACAATGAGAGGCAGCCACTGTGGCGCTTAAATTGCCCCTTTAAATTAAATACAAGAAGTGAATGGTATGCAAGAATTATGTACACGTGTATAAAAGCCCTCAAACACTGAAACTGGCCTACTTAACGGGATTAAAGTAACTCATTGTTGCTCTTGTAGCAGCCAAAGTAAAGGCAACCAAAGGAATGTCTGTGTACACTTGAAAAGGAACTGTACAACAGAACAAGTCCAGATTAATTATTTGCAATCCAGCTGGTATTTAAATACTTGAGCAAAAAAAAATAAAACTATAATGCCTGCAGTAACAGACTAGAAAACATCAGAGGCAAATTAAACACAAAATACACAGTTTATTAAAGGAACATTATAGTGTCATATGAACTGTTTTGGTGACCCCCCTACCCATTTAAGATAAAAAATATATATATATTTTTACTCACCTTTCTGCCCTCACCACTCTTCTGGCTGAGGTCATCAAGATTCCCTTGGGGAATCATTGGGAGGCTAGTGTACATGCTTGTCAAATCGCTGTGCTGCACCATTTAAATGCTCTTATGAGCAGCATTTGATTGAGAACCCGAAAAGCCCCTCTAGTAGCTGTCAAGAAGATAGCTAGTAGAGGTGTGTTTAACCAGCAATGAAAGCATTACCATAAAAAAACATTGCAGATTTAAAATAGCAGGAACTCTGCACCTAGACCAATTCATTGAGATGAAGTGGTCTGGGTGCATTTAGTGTCCCTTTAAGCATTAGTTGAAAGGGAGTAATCTTCCTTAAACATTTTAAATGCTTAAATTTTTTTATTTTTTATTGTGGGAATATTTGAATATAGAAGTTTATTTTGGAACTGTATCCATTTTGCAGAAATATGACAATCTATAATGGTATTTCCCCACACACAAAGGGGAAGTATTACTTGCAAAAGAACATGAGAAAATTATAATATATAAATATAAGATGTTTTAAATAAATATTGTTTTAGCTGATATTTATAAAAATGGTTCGGTTAGAAATGATAGCCTGTTAAACACATGCCTGAGGACATACTTACACGGTTTCTCCATGCACCATAACCACTTCAGTGTTTTGAAGTTGTCTTAGTGCCTGAATTTTGTACATGCAGAGTCTCTCAGCCAATGAATGGCCAGCAGGATTGACTTCCAGCTTCCGCAGAAATCGGATAAATACCACCCATTGTTGGGACCTTTCGCTTTCCTTAATTCTTGCTGCATTCTTAAGAATAGGAAGTCTCTTATCACTCACTATTCCAGTATGTGGGTTGGATGGTGTAGACCCAAGTAGTATATCAATCTTTTATTACCTTGATATAAATATGTATGTTTCTTTTTGTCCAACTGTGGTAAACAAATGGTTGTAACAACTAGAGAACAAAAAATATCCAGATTTTATTACGTAAGAAATCCTCCCATTTATGATAAAAGTTCCCAAGCACACTTGTATGGACACGTGCTATATAATTTCTAAGAGATCAATGTTAAGAACCCAACACAGAGTGAGCAACATTGGATCAGAATAAAAATGAAGATATATTCGGAGAAAAATCAGAAAAACTATTTCACCCCACAATTCTAACATTTCTTTCTAATTAATACTTTCCCTTTAAATTATTTAGAGCTAACAAATCCTATTGTTAGTTCAGTATCATAGCAATGATCATGCTTCAAGAGAAGGTGGAATGTGGTTCTACTCCAGTGGAACAAGGTGACATTGCTTAGCTATTTAAAGCTTGATGATACAAGTTATCTTAAAGGAATATAACTATAAACTTTGTGTCATTCAGTTTCTGTTGACACAACCTTAACTTGGTTAAAAAAAAAAGTTTGGTTTGCTTGCAGTTTGCAAGAAGCTACTCCATTCTTCAAACTAAATATTACATTGATTCTTAAATAACTATGATTCCATCAGGGTTGTTACAATACAGCCTTTGAAATGGAGGGATAGATTTGGTGGAGAACTAATTGAGATAATGAAAAAAAACATGCAAACAATTGCCAAAAAAATGATGGGTCTGGAATGAAACTGGCAGACAAAACATTAGCAAAATGCACAAATGGGTCTCAGGACAGAAACAAATACTTGAGTAAATCTTATTGCAATTAAAGGCTCAAACTGACCGATTCATAAAATTCAACTTATGCCTGAAGCTCTTTCTTTGGTGGCCAGCATGTTCACATTCAGGGCCATTGCAAGGATTTTTGCCACCCTAGGCAAACAAAAATTTGCTGCCCTCCCCATATGTTCTGCCCACCATGTAAAATCACAATGCCCCACCCATATGATCTGCCAAATGGGCCAACTACAGTTCTGCACAGAGTGGCTTTTATCTGTAGTGGTTCTGGTGACTATAGTGGCTCTTTAATATGAGGTAAATTAAGAGTTTAGTTCCACTAATAATATACTGGATTGCCTACTTACCATCAGATGAGGACAAGATGATGATGATGGACTCAGGCTGCAGTCTGGCTCCACTGATCTGGTGTAGAACAGCCTCTTGGAGACTGTTTGTAACAGTGCTCTCAAAAATCAACGAACAGGAAGCAGCTCCATTTTTTGGGGCCCCTTACACAGCTCAAGGTCTGGGCCCCCAGGGACTGACCATGAGTATGCCTACAAGGCCTGCCCATAAGTCCACCTACATGGCCCACCCATGAGTTTGCCCATAGGGAGTGGAGTGTATGTGTGTAAGGGATGTGCTATTGTAGAGGATGTTATGTGTGTGTGTGTTCATTTAGAATGTAGTGTATAGGGAGACCAATTTGTGTAAGGAATGTAGCACATGCAGTGTGTGTTTTTGTGTGTAAGGGATGCATTGTGTGAATCTGTGTTTGTAATGTAATGCAGTGTTTGAGTATGTGTAAGAGATGTATTTTGTTTCTGTGTGTGTCTAAGAGAGGCAGTGTGTGTGTGTGCGTAAGGGATGCATTATGTGTTTTGGTGTATCTGTGTGTGAGTAAGGATGCATTGTATGTTTCTTTGTGTATGTGTAAGGATGCATTGTGTATGTGTGTAGTGTGAAAGAGAGGATTTGTGGTGTAGGATAGGGAATGAGAGGGGAGCAGCTCTTTATTTTTATTTTTTTAGTGCTCTCCCCTCCTGTCAATTAGTGATCTCCCCTCCTGTCCCTCAGTGCTCTCCCCTCCCCTTCTGACCCTTAGTGCTCTCCCCTCCTGTCCCTTAGTGCTCTCCCTTGCCCCCTGTCCCTCAGTAAAATCCCCTTCACTTCCTTAGTGATCTCCCCACCAGTGTCTCAGAGCTCCCCCCTCCTGTCCCTTAGTGCTCTCACCATCCCTCCTGTCCCTAAGTGATCTCCACTGTTCCTTAATGATCTCCCTTAACCCTCTGTCTTTGAGTGTTCCCCTATGAAAATATACAAAAAATGATAACTATTTCAGTACTGGCTTTTTATTCAGGGCATCACTGGACTGTCACTCATACCCAAGAGAAGTTGTTTTGCTCTCTCCTCCCCTCCCCTCCCCTCCCTTAGAGATGTCCCCTCCATCCTTAGAGCTCTCCCCTGCCCCCTGTCCCTTAGTGGTTTCTCCCCCTCTCTTCCCTGTTTCTCAGTGTTTCACTCCCCTCCCTTAGTGGTCTCCACACCTCTTAGTGGTCCTCTTCACTCCTCCTCTCCCCTCTTAGTGGTCCCCTCTCCCCCACCCCCCTTAGTGGTCCTCCATCTCCCATAACCCCTTAGTGGTCCTCCATCTTCCCCAACCCCCTAGTGGTCCTCCCTCCCTCTTAGTGGTCCTCTCCCCACCTCTTAGTGATCCTCTGTCTTCTCCTCTCCCCCTCTAAGTGGTCCTCCCTCTCCTCCTCCCCCCCTTTAGTGGCCCTCCCTCTACCCACTGCTCTCCTCTCTTAGTGTTCCCCTCCCTGTTGCACCTCCTACCTAGCTTTGTAGCATGGCCGGGCGGCGCGGCCCATGGTACACGAGCTTCTGTTTCCTGTAACCGGCCAGACTGACAGGAAGTGTTCACTGAGTGAGCACTTCCTGTCAGTGCGGTGGGCGGCCGGGTACAGAAAACAGAAGCTCCTGTACCGCGCTCCGTGCTGTCCGGCCATGCTACATTGAGTGACTGGCAGGAGGAAGCTCTGTGCGCTTCCCTCCTGCTGGGTCACCCAAATCTGGCGCCCACCAAGCCAGTGCGCCCTAGGCAACTGCCTAAGTTGTCTATAGGACACACCGGCCCTGTTCACATTATAAGTCAGGTTTCATGGGAAAGCTGTTCTTGGAAATTGAGAGTAAAGGTCTCTCTTATCACTGCAATACTCAATCTCATGAAATTTACAAGCCCACTCACAGCATTACTGTTGCTGTCTTCTGTGTTTCGCGTGTTTCCCTATGAAAACATACAAAAAATGCTAAGGACTGCTGCTAAATATTTCAGTACTGGCTTTTTATTCAGGGCATCACTGGACTGTCACTCATACTTGAGAGAAGTTTTTTTGTGACAATCACAACACGACACCTATCTTCAAGAGGATAAATAAAAATGCATATTCGAAACCTCACTCATGGGGAACAAAAATTCCTAGCAAGAAAAATATTTTTACAAGATGTCTGGTAAAGTATAATTAGTTAAAGTGTTCTGTCTGTTCTCTAAATTGCTACATGATTCCAAATAAGATTTCAAGCTTTTGACACGAATTACAGTCAGTAGACAACAGCACTTTTCAAAAAAATGTCATCTTTTTGCTACAAGTGTACCATTGAACCATTTAAAGGAATTTTTTGCTATGTCTGTGTCTGTCATAATGTATCAAGTTTATATGAAAAAAAAAAACGGAAAGAAAAGAAAAAAAATATAAATATTTTATTATATATACTGAGGATTTGAAGTAACACCATGACAATAGTTTTATGAAGCCTGGGAAACAAGGAAGGAATGTGAGATGATGTGACTGAAAGCATCTATGAGCACTGATGCAGGACCAGCTCAACTACCTCCTTAATAATACACTTCCCTTCACGGCTAGACTATGAATTAAGTAGCCTTCTTGGATGTAGCCACTGCCTACTTTTTGCTCAGTAGGGTTTTTTTCAAGATGCTTCAGGGAGAAAAACAATGCATGATGGTACTTCACAGGGTTCTTCTTTAGAAGGTATTATTATCAGCTCACAAGTAGCTTTATATACTGACTGCTAGCACATGTAATGCTGCTGGTATCTACTTTAAGGCCAAGATATAGTTACATAGGAATGCAGGAGTAAGGTGTAAGTGGAAAACAAAAGGGGGGGGGGGGGTATTAACTGATGGCAGCAAAGCCTTGGTAGGAAAACCTAAAACCTACTAAATATAAAAAAATATATAAAAAATCCAAAATATTAGAATGAGGATAAGCAAAGAGAAATGAGAAAAAAGAAGGGAAAGGGGAACAAAAAATGAAATTAATAAAAATAATTAAATAAATAAAAATTCTAAATAAGTGAATGGATTCGCCTACTTTCACTAGATATGAGTATGATTAATAAAATAATAATTTAAAAGATTATTAAAAGATATATATACTATGTATTCATTGACATACAATCTATAAAACACACATGTAACATGTATCATACTGAGCAAAATAGTAACTCTGAGGTAGCAAATCCTTCTTGTTCCATGCTTGTTGTTGCTTTATTTGCTGCTGTTATTTCTGCTACCTCAGAGTTACTATTTTGCTCAGTATGATACATTACATGTGTGTTTTATAGATTTTCTGTCAATGAATACATAGTATATATATATTTTTAATAATCTTTTAAATTACTCTTTTATTAATCATTATGTCAATGAATAAATAGTATATATCTTTTTAATAATTCATTTTAAATTACTCTTTTATTAATCATGTACCTAAGAAAATACTTCATATATCTAGTGAAGGTAGATCTATCCACTTATTTTTATTTTTTATTTTTATTATTTATTTACTGAAATTGTATTTATTTCTTTTTTTTATTCATTTATTTAAAAAATTTATTTATTTTTTTTCCCTTTCTGTTCTTTTTTTTTTTTTTTTATTTGCACAGCCTCATTCTAATATTTTACATAGTTACATAGGCTGAAAAGAGACATGTGTCCATCTTGTTGAGCCTCTCACATCTGTTTTTGCTGCTGACCCAAAAGAAGGAAAAGAAAAGTTGGAAGCACTTCCAATTTTGCAACAAACTAGGGAAAAAAATCCTTCTCGACCCCAGCATGGCATAAGAATTATCCTTGGATCAAGAAACTATTATCCCACAATTTAAAAATAAGATCTCTAAATATTATGTTTTTGTAAGTATGCATCCAATTCCTGTTTAAACATCTGTACAGAATCTGATAAAACCACCTCTTCAGGCAGATAATTCCACATCCTTATTGTTCTTACTGTAAAAAAAAATCTTTCCTTTGCCTTAGACTAAATCTCATTTCTTCCAGTCTAAACACCTTGTGACCTTGTGTCCTTTGTATAGTCCTGTATGGTACTCACACTTCTGTCTGAACAAAAACAAATTACGCAATCTCGGTATCACTTAATAAAATTACAGCAGAGAGAGTTCAGCAGCTGGAAGTAACTTCAATATGGAATTATCCATATAAATGTATATGAAGGGGTTACAAAATAATGATTTGCTACAATTGCAAAGTAAACGGAGGACACTATAAAAACGATCATTAACGGTCAGACCGCATCCATTGAAAAAGCCGCGAAGCGGAGAAACGGTCTGACTCCTATCAACACTAGTCATAATTTTTACTACAAAGAGGACCCACATCCTTTATTTTTACAGCATTTTTGCAACTTGCTGACTCGGGACGCCGAGTTTTTAATAAGGTCTGGACTTTCTTCTTTTGTTTTTAATTATTTTAAAATGTTTCCCTTTTTTCTTTTGTAACTGAGGAAGTCTACTTCACATAGTTGTGTGACGGTAGACTATTAATAAATGGAATTAAATTTTAAGCTATTGTAGTGCATTAATAAGGCTATATACCTGCTGGTAAATATTTATTAGAAGAGAAGGGGTCTTTTTCGTATTCATATATTTTATATCGTATAGGTCGTTAGGTCTCCTATTTTTCCCTATCTCTTGTTTTATTTTAATCAGCGCTCCACTACATGTGACTTTTTTCTATATCTATAAGTTTTTAATAATAATTAATGTAGGATAAACATCTGCCCATGAAGTTGTGTAAAGATGCATTTTAAAGGAAGTGTTTCCAAGAATCTAAAAAAGTTTTAGTCAGTATTACCCTTTAGGCTGGTTAATCACATGGAATGTAATTCACAAGCATTGGCAGCTTAATGGTTAGCCATGACTTGGGTGGGATTAGTGAAGGAAAAAAGGTTAAGAGCAAAAAAAAAATAAACAATGATACAAGGACAACATCATTCCTATTATTTTTTGTTTCTGTTTATCTTTTCCATATTTTGTTTATTTTATGCATGAGTATGAGAAACTCCATTTAAACCACAAGAAGATCCACTGACCTGTTGAACTGTGGTCGTGAGATCCAAGCATAGTTGAATGATTTTGTTCTTTGTTGAAGAGAAGTCAGTGATCCCTGCAAATGGTGTCCTGAAACCAAACAAAACTCAGATTGAACAAAGACAACTTCCAGCTCTTTGAACAGAGCATGCTGGCAAGCAAACTACATATATTTTGGTCGTAGGTCACAAGGCCAAAGAACATCTTTGCTAGTTATAAAACAGCTTCCTCTCTCTTACACAGTATCGGGAGCTAAATATGAGCTGAAGAAATAAATATATATATTTAGAACACCAAGTGAAAATTCCTTAACATAATAACAGTCTGTCTTTTATCAAGATGTCACAGACTGTATAAAATTGTTTCTGTTCGATGACATGCCAGGGTTTTCTCCTAATGTCTTTTCATTTGTTATTACAGCAAAGAAAGAAAAAAAAATGTAGCTGTTTATATACAAAGTCAAGTACATGTCACACTCTCAACGACCAGTTCAATTTGAGCGCAGAAAACAATTAAAATGGTTGACCTGGGCCGTTTCTCAGGATACATTCAAGATCTTGGCATCTACCATTTAGTTTTTTCTGAGTACAGCTTCATCCAAGCTGCATTTTAAATATTTTACTCTTATTATTATTTATAGAGCACCAACAAATTCCACAGTGCTGTTCTATAACTAAAAAGCTTGGAAAGCAAATTAACAACAGTTTGCTAATTTATGGAAACTACTGAATATTTCACCATTGTTTGCATAATAACAATTAGTATTTATATAGCACCTTTCTCCCAGTGGGACTCAAAGTGCTTTTCAGCGCACACTCTCAGAATTAACCAAATCGGCAGCTGAATAGTAATAGATGTTATTATTACCCAATTGATGGTACTCATTTTATTGACCCTGTTGGGTTTTGAACCTGTGACCTTGCACTTTTGAACAGGCTTTGTAGTCAGCTACCTCACCAATAATTCTGGGTACCAGCACTGACATTCTCTCATAACGTCCTGCATATACACTGACACTACATTCCAGCATAGAACTTGATAACCTTGCATTTGGTGTAAAAACTCATCAAATTAAAAAAGGAGAAATCTGAGAGGGGTGCTTATGGTTATAGCAAATTTTATGAGACCCTCATCTACCCCACAAGATAGGAAATCCATCAGTCTCTGGGTATGTTTCTATATTTTGGCTAGTTAATCTGATATGCTTGCAAAAATGCATCCATTTCTCTTACCTGTCCAGCCATGCTAATAGTGCTTTAGCAGAACCTATAAGTTCAACCACAGAAGTCAAAAATTCATTGGGAGGTTTGCGAGCAGTATTTCCGTCATATGATGCACTTTTTCTTCTATTGCTAATGTAGTTCTGAAGATTGTTTGATGCAGATCGAAGTTTTAGCACCAGATTCTTCATGTTGTCAGTTTCCACACCGTAATTCTGCCAAGATTAATAAAAAAAAAAATGAGGGTAAAATTAAATACATGATCTATATTAGCTTGTTATAGGCATCTCTCGATCAAGTTATAAAAACAGAGATCTTGAAATAAATACCAGTACACACGCAATTAACATATTTGAAAAAGTACACTAACCATAAATGTGAAAATGTCACTAGGAAAATGCATACTATAAATAACAATATATACAACAATACTCTTAAGAAACCCAAGGGAATACAACTATTTAGATGAACTGAGCTAATAGGAGTGGCCATGTTAAAAAGAAGTATTGCAGAGCAACTACAAAGGTTCAAAAATATTCATCCATTGTTTTCTAACTGATAGAAAAGCTGGATTACATTCTTAGGTATAAAAAATTTAAACGATAACAATTGACAAGTCAAAATATTGGGATTTAATGAGCTTTTATGTTGTAGCTTTATTTTTGATACATTATTGGGATATCCGGTTACCTGGATATTAAAATCCTTTGTTACATTGTTCTCTTTCAGGGTGTTATTTAAAAAATAGGATGCATAGCTTACACACATTATTAATACAAAAAAAGTAACTTTGAAAGAATATGAGACAACAACAAATGTAGGTTTACAAAGTATTTACATGTATTTATTCTTCCTTTGAGCACATATAGGTTGACAGTATATAATATTAGAAACCATATGGTGTCTCTTGTCTTGCAATTCTTCCATAAGAGCTAGATAATTAGTGAAAAAGCAAATATAGATTTTAAAATATACAGTAAATCAAAACACAAAATGTACATAAAATACACTGTATAGTGAAAACATCAGTATAACTGACACATTTTCAGAGTACATGCTCATGGTAAAACTATGCATCTGCATTAGATATAGAATTTCAGACATAACAGCAATATGTGCCCCAAGCATTCCCAGCTTGCTCCTCACTCCCAGGCTATCATCATGCAGTCCTGTACTATCTTGGCCATACAAGTTTTGTACAGAGTGTGGGAAGGAACAACATTATTTACAGCCATCCCGTGCTAAGTAGAGGGATTAACCAAAGTTCCAGAAGTTTGTTTTGCCTCCAGACAAAGACCAGTACAAGAAAGTCATGTGAAACATTTCAAAACCATTTGTGATAAGAAAATGAATTGAGTGTTTTTGCTATTGCCATAATTTCCTTCTTTAAAGGGAAAACTATAACTTCTCTGGAATTGAAACCATTAAATAAAACAGAAAATCCCCTTTGCCTTGTGTTAAAGGGACACAATAGGCACCTAGACCACTTCATCGTAAAGGGACACTCCAGGCACCCAGAACACTTCTGCCCATTGGAGTGGTCTGGGTGCCAACTCCCACTACCCTTAACCCTGCAACTGTAAATATTGCAATTTTCATAAACTGCAATATTTACATTGCAGGGTTAACTCCTCCTCTAGTGGCTGTCTACTAGACAGCCACTAGAGGGCACTTCCTGGTTTATAGCACAGATTTTCTGTGCTATAGCGTCGCTGGACGTCCTCATCGCTGAAATCCCCATAAGAAAGCATTGAAATACTTAATACTTTCCTATGGGGAGGTCTAATGCGCGTGTGCGGCATTGTCGTGCATGCGCATTAGGTCTCCCCCGCCGCCGGCTGCGCATGCGCAAAAGGTCTCCCCCGCCGGATGACTTTGGCGGGGGAGGAGTGTCGGCAGACCCTGAACCAGCGCCGAGGGACATTGGCGCTGGATACAGGTAAGTCACTGAAGGGGTTTTAACCCCTTCAGCAACCTGGGATGGGGGGTGGGAGGGAGAGGGGACCTGCAGTGCCAGGAAAACGGATTGTTTTCCTGGCACTGGAGTGTCCCTTTAATGAAGTGGTCAATAAAGTGATCTGTGTGCCATTGACGTTCTGCTTAAATATCTGTAGTGGCTGTCACTCAGACAGCCACAAGAGGCACTTACGATGCAATAGCTGAGTAAAACTCTGATATTTCAATCAGATGATTACATAGAGACCATCAGATTGGTGTAGAACTTAAGTTTGCACTGTATGCACACTAGTCTACCAATGCTTTCCAACGGTAAAGAATTAGATTGGCTAAGATCCTCAATCTTATTGATCTGAGCCAAGGAGGTGGGGCATGCCACAAAGTGACGCATAGGAGAAAAGGTAAGCTAACTTCATTTTAAATTCTTATAAGATGGTCTGGGGATCTTAGCATTTAACTGGGCACTATAGCGTTAGATATACTCATTTGTATTCCAAACGCTATAGTGTTCCTTTAATTTTTACTCTGTTTTATTTAAAATTTATTTTAAAGATGCACCAAATTACATCGTAATCAGGATGCATGCAGAGCAGCATAGATCTAGAATGTGTTAGATACATTTATAGCAAATATTTTAAAACTGGTTAAAAAAAATTTGGCACCAATCTGTGTCCCCAATTGCTGCATGCCAGTTATACAAATGATCATAAATAATTACAGCAGCACTAAATTATTTATTTGTGTGTGCACATGTATATTCAGAAAGCTATGCTTTTTCACAAAACCATCATGAAAAGTTTACTTAAATAGTTGTTTTTGTCTCTAAATAAACATTTTATAACTTTGCTTTAGCATAAGACCAAACATTATGATAAATGAGACCAGCAGAGATTTACCCACGACTTTTAACAATAACAAAGATAAAATACACATTTGCAGCTCTGAGTGATGTACTGTTTGCAAGTAAGACATATTAAAACAACTTCTGTCTAAACAAACAACACACTTTAAGTGTAAGCGTTTATTCAGAATTTGAATATTCAAGAAAACTGCTGCTGACATGTTAAAAGGTAATATTCCTTTTTCAATAGTACTAATGAGGTATATATTTGGTGGTGAGTGGTACACGTAGGGAAGGTGGCATGCTATGATGTTGTATAAAGTGAGGCCTGTAGTACAAATCACTCTATTGTCAATAATTGTCCATGGAGAGCACAGAGCAATTAGATTAATTGTTTATACCTGTTGTCATCAGGGCTGCCATCAGGAGGGTAGAGGCATTATTCTGGTAAGGGGCTTGTTTTACTCTGCAGCAGGGCTGGGAGGATGCAACATAAGTCTACAGGAAATTGTAGAGGGCAGCAAGAGGAGCTGGCAATCTACACAAGCTGTCGGGTGCTGAATTAATATTGTGTGTGCATGAGTCTTGCAGTGTGTATGTGTTTGGGAATGTGTGAATGTCTCTAAAAATGGGTATGTATCTGTGAGTGACAGTGTATCTAAAAATGAGTGTGTACATCTGGCAGCAAGTGTGGGTACCTGGAGTGAGTGTATTTGTGTGTCTGGTAATGTGTGTATTAATGCAGGGTGTATCTGTGCATCTAGCAATGTATGTATGAATGCAGGGTGTATCTGTGCATCTAGCAATGTATGTATGAATGCAGGGTGTATCTGTGTCTGGCAATCTGTGTATGAATGCAGAGTGTATCTGTGTGTCTGGCAGTGTGTGTATGCATGCAGGGCGTATCTGTGCATATTTGTGGATAGGTCAGTGTGTATATATGCAGGGATAGATTAACAAAGGGGCTGATGGAGCTGCAGATCCAGGCTCATGCCTATGGAATAGGTCCATTGATTTACCCCTTAAGGACACATGCCATGTGTGACATGTCATGATTCCCTTTTATTCCAGAAGTTTGGTCCTTAAGGGGTTAAAGAAAAAAATAATAATAAAGATGTTGTTACTACTCTTCACATGCTCTTGCTTAAGTATGGAAACTTATGTAGGATGTAGGGGAACAAAACTGGTGTGGACTGGCTGACAATGAAATTAGTTAAGGTAAAACTGACTGCACACTATGGAAATGTTCTTGCTGTTTCAGTCTTTCTAACATGTTCCCTTGCTTCTACACTCACTACATACCCTTTTTTTCTGTCCTAGACTTTATACAGGGGCTTTTGCCTGCTAGTAAGAACGTTAGGAAAGGAGTGGACCAGTGAATGCTAGGGGACAGTCCTTAGAAAGTGTAGACACAATTATGCCAAGCGCAGGGTGCTGTCTGCACAGTATGCCCTTGGTTGGTCATCTTGCATGATTGGCAGGCAATCTGACGTGCATTCAGACCAGGCTGACTATCTAATTCTTCATGCAATTTAGGGCATGTCCCTTTGGGCGGTTCTGGTTAAGTGATTCACATCAGTTGCTCACTCTTTTACTCCACCCACCGAATCCTGCATCACCCACTGCTGTTAGGGGCTATGGATTTACTTGAAAGATGAAAGCGAGAGATTACCATAGGGTTTGTGTTTTCTGAAAGCTGTGAGTTTCCCTCCAGCACCACCTCCACTAGATACATGACGCTTGGGAGGTATAACTGTTTTACTATTTTCTGTCCATAAGATTCTGTAATTCTGTAATTAGGCCATAATTGTCAGCACCAGGCCCAATGGGATCTTAATCCGGCTCTGTATCTATGTAAGTATGGCAATGCATGTGTGTGTCTCTGGGATTCATATCTATTTCTGTTTGTTCCTATGAATGTGCATTATTTATGCGTGTATGGCAATGTTTGTTTCTCTGTGAGTATGTGAGAGCTTGCATGCATAAGACTAACTTTCTGACAGGAGCTCCTGTTATGTCGCTGACATAATGAAAAGAATTGCCTATATGTTTCACAGAAGAGAATATGTAACAAAGGTTTCCAAGAAAGGTCAAGTACAGAGTCAGCAAACTTTGACACAAGTGCCATTCATGGCCTTAAAATCACAAGACTGACAAGACCTCTTCATTGGGATCCAGTGCTTTTAAGTGATTTAGAGTGATACACAGGTAACCATGGCAATGTTCTGACTCACTGAGAACCTAGTACTGGGTGAGAGACTCCACAGGCTCAACCCACTGGACCACCAGTGATCATCATGGTTTCATGCCACTTGCTCAGCCAATTTGTCATCAGCAGGGTGTAGCTATATAGAGAAAATAGCTAGAGTTTATATACACACATACACACACACACACACACACACAGTAATATATATATTAAGATAGCTGGAAAAGCAGCAGGTCACAAATGTATATTTTTTTTTATAGAAAGCAATGACCTTTTAAAATATATTACTACAATGTATTCCATATTTAATGTAAAAAGTCACTCTTAGTGAATGCTACGCATGCATTGAATGTCAGCAATGCATTCATATTTAGTCACAGACCATAGAACCTGATGATCTCACAAAAGGAGATTTGGACTGCAGTGGGAAATCTGTCACTGTATTACAACACTGTATCACAGGTTTACAACATTTTTTTAAGTTTTTTTCTTTTAGGTATTCAAAGCTATTTTTTATACGTAAATGAAACTATATACACACATATATATATATATATATATATATAAAGAGTTTTCCGTTAAGATGTCATCTAGCTGTAAGGGATATGGAAATATATTCAAACCACTCAACACAATGGTGCCATGAGAAGAACTTCAAATACCTTCCAGATTTACACTGGCATACTGCCCATCCGGCTGATTCTACTCATTTTATGAAATCTTGCTTTGTTTAGTTTATTTTCTGTTACTTGTACTGTGTAATGTCACCATAGACACTGAGGCTGTAAATCTGTAAATATTTTAAACAAAGGATATCCCGTGAGCTGGAAAATATGGGAAACTTGTTGTTTATTTGAACATGGAATTGTATATTTGTAAAAGTAATAGCAGGCTTCCTGGATATATCTATTAATATAAAATACCTTGGAAAAAGTAGCACCTAACGGTAGATTCAGCCTCACATTTTTGTTTGAAGAACTGGGCAAACCATTATTTTTGAACATTTGTGCATGTGTGTGTATGTGTGTGTATACATATAAGGTATATAAATTATATCTACATCATTGCTTGACAAGTTTATCAAGACCTGTCAAGTCCAGGCATACAATGAGGAACAATGACCAGGGACATTAACTGTCCTTTATGCTAGAGAGTGCATATTGTACCTTATTAAGCACCTGTGCACACATGGTTTGAAATCAAAAGTCAATAGTTTTTGTTGCTGCTTCTTCCAGGAAAAATGCAGTGGGCTTATGTTTGTTAATTATTCCATGGAAAAAAAGGCTCATGCAATATGAAAATACAATATTCATGTATATACTAGAATATTAAAATACATATTAACCCCATGTAATGCTAGCATTTTTTACTTAAAAACTGGTACAAGAAAAATATAAAATTATTAGATTTTAAGTAAAAGTTAAAAAAAAAAAGTATATTATCAGCCCCTTTTAATTATTGAGAAACATTTAGACTCTACTAATTCAAAACAATACATTGAGCTATTCCATTGTTTTTCTTTTACACCATGTACACCTTTTTTGTATTATTCTACTAATTCAAAATTGTTTCCCACCAGTATATTTTGTATTCTATTATTATTATTAATATTACTTATAAAGTGCCAACTAATTCCGCAGCGCTGTACAAGGGGATTCTATCTACTTTTGTTTTTCTAACAGTTAGCATTGGATTCCATTTGATTGTATGTTTTGTCAATCAATTGTTTACTGGTTTGCCTTCATTTTCTGAGAGACCCATGTGATGGATTAAATGAACATCATAGCACTAGGAATTCAAATACATTGATCATCCACAGCAATAAAACCATTGACAGGTGAAGTGGATAACATTGTTAAAAAATGGCACCTGTCTAGTGGTGGGATATATTAGGCAGTAAGTGAACATGTGTTGGAAGCAGGAAAAATGGGCAAACGAAAAGATCTGAGTGACAAGGGCCAAATAGTGATGGCTACATAACTGGGTCAGAGCATCTACAATACTGGATGTCTTGTGGGGTGTTCCCAGTATGCAGTTATTAGTACCTACCAAAAGTGGCTCTAGGAAAGAGAACCGGTGAACTGGGGTCAGAATCAGTTGCAGTTTGCTGAGTATGAGCCTGCGTAGCCGCAGAGTGCCCATGATGACTCCCCTTCAAAGCGCCAGTCTCCTCTGTTAAGCTCCAACTCTGTCAATCAAATTCTTTTGTATGCATGGCAAAAATGTGATGCGCCATACAGATGGTCTCTCCCAGGCCATCTGATAGAAATAGTGGAGTTTAGGTTAATCCTGCAGAACAGCAGTGTTTTTCAGTTGCAGGCTAAAACAGAGGCACATGGCACCCAGACCACTGTATTGAGATGAATTGGTTTGAGTGCCTATAGTGTTCCTTTAATTACATTTATTAAATAGTCATAGGCGTGTGCAGCCTATTGTATAAGGGTGTGCACCCAAAAGCACAAACACACACGCTGCGTGTGTGTGTGTGTATATATATATATATATATATATATATATATATATATGTGCTATATAAATGGCAATAATAATAATATATATATATATATATACACACACACATATACTGCTGTGTGTGGGGGGGGGCACTGTGTGTGGGCACTGTGTGTGTGTGTGAAGGCGCTGTGTGTGTGAGGCTACTGTTAGTGTGTGTGTGTGAGTGTGCTGTGTGTGTGAGGGTGCTGTTAGTGTGTGTGTGTGTGTGTGAGGGTGCTGTTAGTGTGTATGTGTGATGGTGCTGTGTGTGTAAGGGTGCTATGTGTGTGAGGGTGCTGTGTATGTGTGAGGGTGCTGTGTGTGTGAGGGTGCTGTTGGTGTGTGCTGTATGTGTGTAGATGCTGTGTGTGGTGGGTGCTGTTTGTGGGTGCTGTATGTTTGGGTGATTGTGTGTATTGTGTGGGGGCCGTTTAATAAATATCCCCCCTCCCTTCCTACCTTATGCCTGGGAGGGGGGATCATTTCTGCTGCTTCCATCCCTGGTGGTCGAGTGGAGAGTGAACTCTAGCTTGCGGGGCTAGAGTTCACTCTCGCGAGATCTGAGCGTTGCCACGGCAACGCTCAGAATCCCGCGAGAGGAACCCGGTGGAGCTACTGGCAAGACCTCCCTGGGTCCTCTCCTGCCTCCCTCCCTGCCTGTGGGTCGGTGGGGAGGAAGGCTGAGAGCAGAGCTGGCGCTCGGATAGCCCTGGCTCTGCATGAGCCGACAGGGGAGATCCTGAGATCTCCTCTGCCGGTCTCAATATACATAGGCGTGCCACGGGGATTAGGGTGTGCCCAGGCACACCCGGCACACCCCGTGCGCACACCTATGTAAATAGTGTAATCAGAAGCAGTCAAAATGCTTCTTTAGCACACCACTTTTTGAATAAATTGAATGTATGATCAAAAAAAATGTTAATCATTGCTCCTTATACATTCAGATAGCAGTCCAGAATGGTTTTCATTTATAAAGCATCAATATATTTTGCAGTGCTCAACATTGGAAATTATTATCGCAATGTATGTGAATACATACATATAAGCCCATTTTACACATAAATCTTGGTGTTAAAATAAATGTGAAATCAGATACAGGATTTTTTCCCTTTGTACTTTGTACTTTTTTTTGCACTTATAGGAACACTATAGTCAACTCAAAAACTTTAGCTTAATGAAGCAGTTTTAGTGTATAGATCATGCCTCTGATGTTTCACTGCTCAATTCACTGCCATTTGGGAGTTAAATTACTTTGTTTCTGTGTATGCAGCCCTGGCCACACCTCCCCTGGATCTGAGCCTCCATGAAACAAAAAAATGGTTTCACTTTCAATCAGATGTAACTTACCTTAAACAATTGTATCTCCTGCTCTGTAAATTGAACTTTAATTACACACAGGGGCCTCTTGCAGGGTCTAGCAAACTATTAACATAGCAGGGGATAAGAAAATTTACATTAAACAGAACTTGCAATAAAGGAAGGATTATCATTAAATGACTCTTTACAGGAAGTGTTTAGGAAGGCTGTGCAAGTCACATGCAGGGAGGAGTTACTAGGGTGCATAAACAAAGTGATTTAACTCCTAAATGGCAGAGAAATGAGCAGTGAGACTGCAGGGGCATGATCTATACATTAAAGCGGTTAATTAAGATTAAGCTAAAGTTGTTTTAGTGACTATAGTGTCCCTTTTATTTTATTTTTACAATGCTCCAAAGTACAAAAAAATGGTAAAGAGAAAGTATACCCAACACCTGTTGATATTAATTCAATAATCTAAAAGTGCAATCCTATGTTCCATTTCTGGAAAATGTGACACACAAAGTCCATTCAGCTCCATCATCCACTACTGGTCTTGGCTATAGCACAATCTTTGCTTTGGCTACACACAGGGAAAACATTTTCTGTTCTAGTCTTCCTGTGTTTTCTTCAAGGGTCAGAGAAACACTTTCAGCCCTGGGCAGTATCCCCATACTGAATTTATCACATGCTCTGCCTTGAACCTTGTTCCATTCTCTTTTACATTTGGCAGTAGCTCCTCTCACTCCAGCCAACCTGTGTAGAGTGCAGAGTGGAGAGATGAATAACACAAGAAATGGTCCCCAGGTTTACCTACTTACTAGAAAGACGCATATGTCTCTTCTACTTAGATTGCAGCAGGTGTTGCTGCCCTAGAAAAATAAAGTGCCTCACAATCGTCACTAATTACCAAAAGAGGTACGGTAAATACCTTTCCACCTTCCTACAGAGCCTTTGCGTTATGACTAGGTTAGAGAGAATGTTATCCATGTGTGCTCTCACTTTATCGTCTCTTCAACCAAAGCAATTCATAATAGGGTAGTTTTTAATTAACGACCAGTGGGCTATCAAATTACTGGAAAGAAATAATAATTTATGTATCTTTAATAACAAAACCAGGAGTGGTAAGAACCCATTATCTACACATTACCTGTATACTGGTAAGATGTAAAATCCCCCATGTATGCCTCCTAAGCTAAACTCCATGATAAAGTGGTCTCTTTAGTAATGAATAAGATGTGCAAAGTATAATTCATTTACCCTTACATTCTGACATTCTCACCCTATTAAATGGAGATCTGGGTCTTTTCTGACCATGGGAATAAACTGAAGTTGTGAAAAGGAGAGACAGTGGGCATTAAGGAAAGTGATACTTACTACATCTACAAGATGTAAATGATAGCTAGTACAAAGAGTTATATGGTGGACCTAAAAAAGCCATTCACCAGTTATGCCTTGCATACTTCAGTAAGAATTATGGTTTTCAGTTTGCAGTTATCCAGTTTTGGTTATCACCAGTAGCCTTATGTTTCCATTTTTAGCTGGCATGACTGTTTGTGGCCCATTTGCTTAAACGTAACTATAGTACCAAAAATGACATTCGATATTTTGTCCACCTCCCTTTTTCCACCACCCTTTGGCATTAAGTAAAATAAGCTGCAGACTCCAACTCCACCTCTGGTGATGTCAGCATACAATTTGACATCACCTGCAATCTCCTCCAATCCATTGCTTCTCATAGAGAATTAGTAGAATTTGATTCCAGAATCAAGTCTTACTCAGTTCTGAAGGAGGAAGTGTGTTTTGTGGTTGTCAGAAAGTCAGCAACTAGATGTGTGTTTAACCCTGAAAGGTAAACATTACATTTCCTACAAAACTACTATGTTTTAAATTACCAGGTTAAAATGACAAGATCACTGCATAAATTAAGCTTCAATACATGATTCCTTTTTTTTTTACCTTCAAGAACTATGCATGTTAGATGCTCCCAACAATGTGTGTAGGTTAGCAGAAGTTGTATATAGCAGATCTGACCTTGGTTTACCTTTTATTGGCCAGTGTTTTACTGTTTCAGCACATTTTCTAACTATTGATTTAAAACATACTGCTATTGTGTTCCGCCCCTTAAATACCAAATGCTACACTTTAGAGAACTCAAAATCTGGCACCTAAAGACCTTCTGGAAGCTCAAACAAGCCATGTGTATGTTAAATGACTGGGTCATTCTGTTTCAGAATAGGAACTTCAAAGAACAGTTTGTTATGACAGACGTAGACCATCGTTGGTCTTTCAAAGAGTTAATAAAAGTCAATGAATGATTTCCAGTCCCTCATCCCTAACAATAGAATTCTTTCAATAACAGCTTTCTCATCAGATTTATACAGTGTTTGGAGAATACACAAAAACGTTATTGACTTTTCATAATATGGGACAAGGCATTAGGTTTTTATTAAAGCTGTACATTCCACTTGAGTAAATCATTCATTTTTTTCAGTGACCACATGGCGTGCCAACTTCAGAATAAACAGAGGTTTAGGACATTTCCCAAAAATAAAATTATATTTTACATCTGTTTTGGCACTCCTGGATGGAACCCAGTAAAATAATTTGAATGAATCTCAGTGTGTTTTTTAGGGATATTTAAAAAAAAAATTGCTTTGAATGCAATGACATGTGCTTCTTAAATATAAGTCACAAGCTGCTATAGTCTACCTCAAAATTTCAAGATAATTTAAAACAACTATTTTCATAAGAAATTATATTACATCTCTAGAATGTCAACAGTAATGCAGTTGTAGACAAAATGTAAAAATATAAAAGTTAACCACCTAATCATATTACACTCATGATTTAGCACATAGAATTCTAAGAACATGGCATCCTTAGTACATATAGTAGCTCCCTGCACACTGGACAGGAGAACACTGGACTTTCTATAAAACACAGAGAATATAGAGCAGTGGTTTTTAACTCCGAAGGCAAAATTTAGTGCTATGGAATATCAGCAGAACAAATTGGTTCAAACAGATATGAACAAATATATTCATAGATTCGTTAAAACATAGGCAACCATAGATAATAATTGGGTTAACCATATAGGCAATGTCTTAATCAACAGCCTTTTGATATTGGGAGAATTCTACTGAAGGTATTTTGTTGAATTATTTTGTTATATAAAGGATTGTGATTTAAGAATGGGCCATTGAGTCTATTTTATAGGCATTATGTTATTTTGTCATGTTAATTATTTGGATCTATGTAAAAAAAAATATATATATAAAATATATATATATATATATATTAATATCGAAAAGTATGAATTTTTAACAAAATTATAATTAGTAGTCCTGGCATTACTCAGGACGCTTTAATTTCTTAAAACTCACTCCATGATAAGGGCTATAAGGGCTCAATAAAGGTAGTGATGACTGGTAATACAAATTCTCATTCTGCCTTCATTTAATACATAGTTCTTTGGAGTTCCTAGGGCTAGATACAGGTACTTATTAAAACCAGTGACAGGTGAATTGGATAACATCTATTATATTGTTAAAACAATATCTATCAATGGGTGGGATATATTAAACAGTGAGCAGTCAGTTCTTGAATTTTATATGTTGGAAGCAGGAAAAATGAGCAAACTAAAAGATCTGAGTGACTTTGACATGGGCCAAATAGTGATGACTAGATGACAAAGAATCTCCAAAATGGGGTAGTCCCAGTATGCAGTGGTTACGAGCTACCAAAAATGGTGCTAGGATGGATAAACGGTGAACCTGCATAAGGGTCATGGGAGCCCAAGTTTCATTGATGCACATGGGGATTGAAGGCTAGCTTGTCTGGTCCGATCACACAGAAGAGCTACTGTAGTACAAATTGCTGAAAAACAATATGCTTGCCATGATAGAAAGATGTAAGAACACACAGTGCTTCACAGTTTTCGGCATATGAGGCTGTGTAGCCACAGATTGGTCAAAGTGCTCATGATGACCCTTGTCCACCACCGAAAGTGCCTTTACTTCAATGGGGATGTGGAGCAATGAAGCAATGGAAGAAGGTTGTCTGGTCTGATGAATCATGTTTGCTTTTAGATCAGGTGGATGGCAGGGATGGTAAACGTTATTTATCTAGGAAAGAGATAGTAGCGGGATGCACTATGGGAAGAAGACAAGCAGGGGGAGGCAGTGCTATGCTCTGGGCAATGTTCTGCTGGGAAACTTTGGATCCTGGTATTTATGTAGATGTTACCTTCACACATGACACCTACCTAGACCACATACACCCCTTTGTGGCAATAGTGTACCCTGATGGCTGTGGCCTCTTTCAGCAGGATAATACACCCTGTCAGATTGCAAAATTTATTCAGGAATGGTTTGAGGAACATGACAAAGAATTAAAGGTGTTGCCTTGCCTTCCAAGTTCCACAGATCTTAATCCAATTCAGCATCTGTGGAATGTACTGGAACAAAAAATCCATTCCATGAAGGCCCACCTTGCAATTTGCGGGACTTAAAAATGCGCACTGCTAATGTCATGGTGCCAGATACCAAAGGGTCTTAAAGGAGTTCTTGCCTCGACACATCAGCTATTTTGATAGAATGAGGGGGACCTACATAATATTAGGCAGATGGTTTTAATATTGTGGCTGATCAGTGTATATGTTATAAGAGGAGGTAATTGGTCCAGCATTTTACAAATATATTTGTGTTGGATGGCATTTCTTTGCTGTTTAACTTTTAAACATATTACCTTTAGAAGTTCTATGTTGTATATACACACATAAAATTTGCATTGTAACTATTTGAAATATATATTTATATACTGAGTGTATAAATATACCCTAAGGGACCATTTTATTAGGTACCCCTCCCTGCACATTGAAATACAGCCATACACAAGTGTGTCTGTTTGCACTTATATTAAAAGCAAGCAGACAAGGTCAATAGGTTTCATTTTGTTTGAACACACATTAGAAAAGGAATGATGAATGTCATCTAAACAACATTGATGGTGGTAGAATGGCAGAATTGACACTAATGCAGTTTTGAGATCCTTTATCTCAGGGCTATTACGATCTGCACATTATTATTTCCCTCTCTCATTATAGATATATTGGCATAAGAACTGGGGAGACAGAAACAGGTCAATTACCTCTCCCCATCTAATTTCCCATTGCAAACAGCAGCTGTTCCCTGGAATTGTAATTCCCACCAAACTTGGGAAGACCAGGAGATATATTCCTTGATATTGCCCAAACATTAAAGGAAATAAATCTAGCCTTCATTCAACCAATCAAAATAATACCATCTCTTTTTTTTTTTTTTTTATTATGATGTATCCTATCTATACACATATATTTATGTTTTTGTTTAAATACATAGACATACATCCGTGAACAAATTATTTCAACAAATACATGAAATAGAACCATCAAAGTGCATTGTAAGCCATACTGCCATTGGAAGGGTTACACATCTTGCTTTCATGGAGATGACTATAAAACTTGACAAACAATAGACCTTTAAGGAGAAATAATATAAAAGCTGCAATAAAATGACATACCAATAAAAGTGAAATAAATGTAATTATGTTAAAAGAGGTTTTACATGTTACTGGAATTACAGTGCACAGTCTCTTAAGACCTAATTGCCTCCACCCATTTCCACACCCACCTCCTAAATAGCTATTTAGACATAAGCTATTGTGAGTGCTTTAGGGCATGCAACAATGAGCCGCAGAAATGTACTGTGGAAAAAAACAAACAACTGACTAGGCAGTTTGGCAACCTTTGATCTAAAAAGAATGTTACCCCTTTTCATTATTGTATTCAGTGGGGTTCCAATATATTTATTTGTTGGGAAGGAAGAAGGAGAGGCACTGTCCCTTGGCGTAACTAAAAGGAAATATTTAATTTTAAAAAACCTGTTAATCTCTATTTTCCAGTATTTCAGTATTTGTTCAGTAAACATACCATTTTGTTACATTTTCAAGATAACACAATTTATTGAAACAAAGTAATAGTTCCTATAACATATTTATAAAGGAATTACAGCTAAAGCTAGCAATGAGAAATGCATGGGTTGTTGTTTTTTTTTGCTAGCTGGGAGTGATGAGGGATTCCGCAGTACGTATGTATAGGTGGTGTGGATGAACTCATCAACGTAAAAGTAATTAAACAATATAACAGATTGGGGTGTGCAGAATATCTGGGTATTAGAGGGCAATTAACAAATATTTGAAATTTATTGTGAAATGACTTTGAATTTCAAACAACTCAGTGAAACCTATATAACAAGAAGAAGCTTTATTAATTAAAGGGCACGTTGCAAGGAATATATAACATATCACATATATTAACAGGGGGTTAACAGAGTGTCTTTTTCACTTCATAAAAAGCTTCTTTTATAAAGCTTCTGTGTCGCACCTTGCCAGCTGTCGATCTGTCAGCCAGAAGGGTGCTCATAGCCTTATTTTTCAGCACAAAGTGAATGCTAGGATTTCTCTTATGAAAAGCATTGGCGAATACTATGAGAGTAGTATTTTCAGGGAGATTATCAGTATTGATGAGATCACAGAGACAGAATGGAAATAGGTGAGAGATTCCATTGCTGCTGACTTAGAAGTAAGGCACGACGGGGTCTGATTATTATTATTATTGCCATTTATATAGCGCCAACAGATTCCGTAGCGCTTTACAATATTATCAAGCCAAATTCAGTTTTATACAATCCAGCATTACATATAAAGGCTTTTTTTTATAATACTGGTGTGCTCCTTTAAAGCTGTTTACATTCAACAGTTGTGTTTCACTTCTACATGTCAATGGTAATTCAGCTGCTTTTTTCTCTTTTTGATTATCACACATAAAAAGAGAACACTTGCCCACTTTTACAATTTTCACCCAAAGAAACGTAAACTATAGGCAAAGAAAAAATAATCGATTCAATGAGAGGAGCAAGCGACCTCATAAGCCCTCATAAGCATGTGCAGATCACCTAGCTTTGACTAAACTAACCCTTTAATTACTTTAAAAGAAAGTTGCAAAGAACTAACTACCCACAATTAATCTGAGTACAATAAATAAAAAATAGTGGGATATCCCCTACATCCCATAGAAACTGGGGGGCATGCGGTATTTGGCAAAATAGGGGATAGCCAGGCCCAGATTATTGTGGGGACGATTAAAGTATGACGTTCAGAGCATACACATTGAAATAGGCACAAGCTACTTTTTTTTTTAAATTAACTTTTTATACATTTATTCTTAAGATCTGCTGTAGCTCTGACGTTTCCAGTGCCATATTTATCACGTGTGGCAAGGAAGGCACGTATATATTTTTCCCCGATGTAGTTGAGCTATGTGGGAAACGCTGTCCAGAATGCATAAAGTGCCAAAAGCAGCTTTGACATTGTAGGTACAAATCTGTATCTGACATTCAACAGGCCTATTGGTGTTCTATGCCCATTCCAAACAATTAATCTGAGCCTTAACACCTCCAAAACACCTATAGGAAGCAACAAATAATCCCCATTGCTGTCCCAGTAGAATTCTCTATGCTTTAGAATGCTTGTGAAAATGGATTTTAAATGCATTTAAAAGTTTACATGCATGTGGGGTTGGTTTCATATATCATATAGGGGTTTGAGTGGGAGTGTGGGTAAGGGCTTTTCTGAGAAATTTTAGGTGACTTGCTAATAACACTTTATGTAATAAAAATATAGTTTCGAACAAGAACAATGTAACCCTTTCTCCCCCTGGCCCCCTCCCCACACTGTAACCCTTTATCTCCCTGCCCCCCCCCTCCCCACACTGTAACCCCTTCTCTCCCTGCCCCCCTCCCCACACTGTAACCCCTTCTCAATCTGTCCCTCCCCACACTGTAACCCTTTCTCCCCTGCCCCTCCCCACACTGTAACCCTCTTTCTCCACTTGCCCCCAATGTAGCCTCTTCTCTCCTCTGCCCCCACACTGTAACCCTTTCTCAACCTGGTCCCTTCTCCACACTGTAACCCTTTCTCTCCCTGTCCCCCCTCCCCACACTGTAACCCTTTCTCACTCTATTCCCCTCCCCACACTGTAACCCTTTTTCTCCCTGCCCCCTCCCCACACTGTCACCCTTTCTCTCCCTGCCCCCTCCCAACACTGTAACCCCTTCTCCACACTGTAACCCTTTCTCTCCCTGTCCCCCCTCCCCACACTGTAACCCCTTCTCACTCTATTCCCCTCCCCACACTGTAACCATTTTTCTCCATGCCACCTCCCCCCAATGTAGCCTTTTCTCCCCCTGCCCCCCCACACTGTAACCCTTTATCCCCCTGCCTGCCCACTATAACATTTTCTCCCCCTGCCCCCACACTGTAACCCTTTCTTACCCTACCCCTCACTGTAACCCTTTCTCACTTTGCACCCCCCACTGTAACCCTTTCTCACCCTACACCCCACACTGTAACCCCTTCTCACTCTGCCACCCCTGCTCACACTGTAACCCTTTCTTACCCTGCCCCCCACTGTAGCCCTTTCTCCCCTACCCCCCCCCCACTGAAGCTTTTTCTCCCTATAACCACCCCACTGTAACCCTTTCTCACCCTGCCTCCACACTTCAACCCTTTCTTACCCTGCCCCGACACTGCAACCCTTTTTCAGACTGCCCCCCCACACTGTCCCCAGCACACACACACACTCTTTTCCACACTGTCACCCTCAGCTCCTGTTTATGTGTGTATGTGTATCTGTGTGTCCTTTTGTGTCAGTGTGTGTGTATTTGTGTGTCCATGTGTGTCTGTGTGTATTTGTGTACATGAGTGTCTGTGTATCTGTGTGTGCAAAATAAGGTGTTGTGTGTGTGTCTGTGTGTATCGCTACGTCAGTGTGTATTTGTTTGTCCGTGTCTCTGTATGTGTTTCAATGTGTGTGGAAGTGTATACACTGCACACACATGCACACCTGCATTCAAACACCACAATTCACACACATACTTCATACAAAAACCTGCTTACATCCAAACACACATTGTGTATATGTATATTTTATGTACACAATATACACACTGCATCCACTACACACGCACTGCAATCAAATGCAAACATTACATACAAACACACCCCTGTTTTAAAACACTAAAATTATATACAAACACCCCTTCATTCAAACACCAACACAACACACAAAAAGCACACCATTTAAACTCCAACACTACATACAAACACCTCTGCATTCAGATGCAAACATTACACACAAGTACACCACTATATTCCAATGGCAATAGTACATACTAATACACCCATACATGCACACATATTCTTAATACAAAAACATGCTTACATTCAAATGCTCAAACACTGCTCACAAATAAAACCCTGCAACGATGCCCAGCTGGCATAGCATTGTTGAGGCCCAGAAAAAATACTTGCACCAGTGCCCTCTTTACATTAGTTCCACCACTGGGATACTCAACATGAGGTGCCTGGATGAAAGCGTGGGACACAGCACTTCTGATTCTGACGGAGTCTGTGAGTAAGCAGTTGTATGCCTCTAAAACTGATTGCCATGATATGCCAAGTTTCTGCCTCTAAAACTGCCATGATACCCAAAATTATGCTTCTAAAACTGCCATGATATCCCAGAATTATGTCTCTAAAACTGCCATGATATGCCAGTTTTATGCATCTAAAACTGATTATCATGGTGTGCCAATTATATGCGTCTAAAGCTGCCATGATGTGCCAACTTTATGCATCTAGGACTGTTTGCCGTGGTGTGCCAATTGTATGTTATTAAAACTGATTGCTAGGGTGTGCCAATTGTATGCTTCTAAAGCTGTTTGCCATAATGTGCCAAGTTTATGCATCTAAAAGTGATTGCCATGATGTGCCAAGTTTATGCATCTAAAGCTGATTGCCATGGTGTGCCAAGTTTATGCATTTTAAGTTGCCGTGATGTGCCAAGTTTATGCATCTAAAGCTGATTGCCATGATGTTCCAGTTGCATGCCTCTAAAACATATTGCCATGGTGTGCCAATTTTATGCCTCTATAGCTGATTGCCATAGTGTGCCAATTTTATGCATCTAAAGCGGATTGCCATGGTGTGCCAATTGTATTCCTCTAAAACTGATTGCCATGGTTTGCCAATTTTATGCACCTAAAGTCGCCATGATGTGCCAAGTTTATGCATCTAAAACTGATTGCCGTGATGTTCCAGTTGTCTGCCTGTAAAGCTGATTGCCATGGTGTGCCAATGGTATGCCTCTGAAACTGATTGCCAAGGTGTGCCAATTGTATGCATCTAACGCTGATTGTCATTGTGTGCCAGTTATATGCCTCTAGCGATTGCCATCATGTTCATTTTTAAACTATGCATTAAAAGCAAGTGGGTCTCGAAAAATTACCATTTTCAAAAGTGGGTCTCGGCCCATAAAAGTTTGGGAAGCCCTGAGATAAGACATTGAAAAATGAAAAACTTTGTGCGATAAAACTTAGATCTCACTTTACAGGAAGAGTGTTGAGAGGAAATGTAAGTCACAAGCAAGAGATGTGTGGCTAGAAATACATAAACAAAGTGACTTAACTCCTAAATGGCAGAAAATTGAGCAGTGAGACTGCAGGGCATGATCTATACACCAAAACTGATTCATTAAGCTAAAGTTGTTTAGTACTTAAATCTTGAGAACACACTGCATTCCTTTCTAAGCCTATGCTCACATTCAGAGATTAATTATGTGTGTAAATCAAAAGGTAAAAATTGCTGGAATGTTTCAAATGTTTTCATAAAAACATATTTTCTGAGATTTCTTCTATCTCTCAAAATATGTCTTAAACTTAATTTTCACACATATACGTCCTCTTTTAAACTCAAGTGGAAAATAGCAGATCTTCTAAGTGGTTTTTAAGCTACAGCCACCACTAACTAGTGTTAGTGTTCCTAACACTTACCTTACTTGTGGCATGTCCCGCAAATAAATCTTAATCCAAGGTGACAGGCCTTAAGGTAGATGCATTCTCTCTTCCACGAATGTATATCCAAGATGTTGTTAAAAACCAAACCTCACGTTTTTCCGGCTTTGAGAAGAGCGAAATTACATATATATCCATTCCCCCCTTGGTACACTGAATGCTGCCCAACCTTAAATCCTCCTTCGGGGCTAACTTCTCCAAGATGTCAAAAGACATCAGGGCAGATTTCCTGGCAATAGAGGAGAAGGCTGAAGAGCTCATAGGAGCTCACAAGACATTGGCAAATGTCTACACTGCCTTACAGACCAAAGAAAACAAAATGGAGCATCACGAGGGCCATAACTGCTGCAATAATATAAGGACCCAGGGTGTCCTGGAGGAGATTGAGTAGCATGCCCGGAGTGAATATGTTACCCAGTTTTCAATCTCAATGCACTAATCACAAAGGCAATTCAAGAGGTAAAATTGCCCTACAAAGCTAGTCAGACACAATGGCGTGGATCCTGAGAAAGGCCACGAGTTACAGACACCAATAAGCCTCAAACGAGTTCCTCAAGGAAATCACAAGGTCTCCATCACATATTGTCAGCAATCAAATTACTACATTGACAACGTATCTCATTTATATATCCCTGCTTTTATAAAGCAGCAATCCTCTCGATGTCTGTCTTACTTCATGCTCCTTGTGGTGAGTTGCAATGGGTGGACATGGAACTGTATAAACTGCCACAGAAAGACTTACTAGATATAAGACTTATTAAATATTTTCTACAAATATGGTGGTCCTGCTCAGTTAGTACCCCTATGGACAAAATATTGCCTATCTGTTGATTGAAATGGATGTCAATGACATCCCTTTTTGACCCACCAGTATATTTTCAGTTGAAGTTCTCCGAAACAATTCCGCAATTGCACAAGTTTTAGATTCTCACATTTCTTTTGCTACAAGAAGCCTCATATAATTACATTACATTGGAAGCAGAATGAAAGTCCTAGTCTAACACAGGTCATAAAAAAAAAAAAATCTACAAATTTATGGCTACAATGTGAATGGCTCAGACATAAGGGTGAGCAGGGGATGAGGAAAGCTACAATGTGAATGGCTCAGACATAAGGGTGGGCAAGGGATGAGGACATAGCCTTTTGAGAGTTGGTTGGACCCAGGCCCAGACTGGCCATCGGGCATACCGGCCAAATGCCCACAGGGGAGGTCACAGATCTCCCCTCTTGGCCCATGCAGTGCCGGCACTATACGAGCGCTGGCCCTGCTGTGTGCCTTTATGGGTCAGTGGGGAGATCAAAGATCACCCACATTGGCCCACAGGCAGTTACATGTGGCCTCCGGCTGGGGAGGGAGAGAGGACCCGGTGGAGCTTTAACCTGCAGCTCCGCTGGGTTCCTCTCGCGAGGTCGGAGCATTGCCGCAGTTACTACGGCAATTATCAGATCTGGTGAGAGTGAGCTCTAGCCCCACAGGCTAGAGTTCACTCACCACTAGGAACACCAAGGATGGCAGCACTGCCCACGCTTTCCTGGCCTTTTTGTCCACTGGTATCCCACTTATGGAGACACCAGAGACAAGTTAAAAGCAAACACAGGGCAAGCATGTTTTTATATTTGCTTGCACTGCGCAGAACAAATACAGAGCCTTTTTCTCATGCTAGAACTCTTCAGCGAGGCTCTGCACTTTGAACCAACATGCTCACTTTGAGATGGGGCGTGCTTGTCATTAGTGATGACAAAACACCCCCTTTCTGGCCCTGCCCCCTTGTCAGGGGGCCTCTGTAATTGAAAAATGCCCAGGCCAAATTTTTTCCCCAGTCTGGCCCTGGTTGGACCCCAACATTACCGGAGATCTTGGTGTTCAATATGTATTGTATTGTTGATTGCACGTTTACATGTCTGGTATACATGTTTTATGTGTTAATCCTTTTTTATTATTATTCTTGGTACATTCCTAACATGTCAATTCAACTCTTTTACTGTTGATGTTGTATGTACATGACAAAAATTACTAAACTATAAATAAAAGAAGACTCAGCCTTAAAGTTTTTATGACAATTTGAAACAATTTGTCCCAACTCTTATAACTGCCTAAAATATCCTGAAGATGAAAGGATGGGTTGTTTAACCACATCTGAAATACACTTTATTTAAAGGTATCCTTTGAATCAAGTACAATTTTTGCTGAGTAATATGTATTTAGCTTTTTGTGAAGTGCTTTGACTCTGTGCTGCTTGTACTAGGTAACAATGGAAAATGTTGCTTTATTAAATAGTTTCATTATGTTTCTCAGCCATAATGTTAATATTTAATATTTTTGGATAAGCTTGTTAAATTATTTAGCATTTTACATCAATATTTATATCAAATATAAAAATATATCAACATATCAAAATATATTAAAATAGGTTTTAGAATAATAAATCATTTAAAAAGATTATCCATAAATATTAAACAATTTGAAAAGCTTATCCAAAAATATTAAATCAAGGCCGAAGTGTATTCTTCGATTTTACAAATGTAACCATTGTATGAAGATTAAATGTCACTAAACTTTAAAATCTCTTAATGTGTTTTTAATATTGAATAGACTGTTGTGTCAATTTTGTTTATTTTTAAATAAAAATGTTTTAAATAAAAAGCAGCTGTATAATGATGCCCATATTCCCTTTTGTGAATGATGTACTAATTTATTTTTATATATATCTACAATTTAGTGTTTCTCTTTAAAACATAAGACAAAATATGGACTATTTTGTCTTATGTATTTTCCTATTCTTGACAATTGTAACAAAACTGTGAAGCTTAAGGCAAAATCTCCTCCCTTTGTCAAGTTGGCCAAGTTTAAAAAAAAAAAAAAAATGTCCTTGCTTTGTCTTATTTTCTTTAAAGAGAAATAAAAGAAAAGAAGAAAAGATTATGAAACAGGAAGAGAAGAGGAAACAATAGGATAAATGTATGTTTGAAGTGAGAAAGCCACTTTAACATGCACTGTATGTTGGTCCTTGTTCTTTAACAGAGCTGTTTAATTGAGTTTAGGAGAAAATGAACAAGAGCAGAAGCATCTACATGCACCTACAACTCCCAGGGCTGATTGGCTGTAGGAGGGAACTACAAATGTATGAGCATGATAAAAAATGGCATGTGTCTTATAAAATGTACATGCTGTCTATTCAATATTCTGAGCACATTCAATTATAGCTTCCTTTCTATCAAAGCAGACAACAGTTAATATCAATTCAATGAAGATGTTTTACACATCTGCAAAAATAAATTGAGGTATAAGTAGACGATAATAGAATGAGAAAAAATGCACAGCATGACAGGTTTAACACAAAACCAACTATTCCTCAATACCTTAAAGGAACACTATAGAATCAGGAACACAAACATGTATTCCTGACCCTATAATGTTAAAAACACTATGTAGCCCCCCTGTTCCCCTTGCACCACAAAATATAGTAAAATCTTACCTTTATTTCAGTCTGCTAGTGGTGGCTCTGCCCCTGATTGGCCTCCCTTTGCTGACATCATCAGAAGTGGTGAACTCAGCCAATCACAATGCTTTGCCATAGGAAATTGTCATAGGAGATTGTCAAGGAGGCAGATCAGGGGCAGAGCCAGCACAAGCCAAACACAGCCCTGGCCAATCAGCATCTCCTCATAGAGATGCATTGAATCACTGTGCATCACTGCCCCAGGAAGCACTTCTAGTAGTCATCTGAGGAGTGGCCACTTGAGGTATCCCCCTGCTGTAATGTAAACACTGACTTTTCTCTGAAAAGACAGTGTTTACTGCAAAAAGCCTACTGGGACTGATTGTATTCACCAGCAGAAATACAATAATCTGTAGTTGTTCTGGTGACTATAATGTCCCTTTAACAACAGCTCACTCTTGAAAATAGTATCCCCTAAGAGAGATTCTTAACATACGTTCTACATGATAAATCACTGATCAGATGCATTTAAGATAATTCTGTAAATTAGCCTATGGCAAAACAACACAACATAACACTAGCATATAGCTGGGTTTTAACATGGTTTGAGGCTAAGGAGATCAAGTATCATATACTTGTATTTTTTATATTCATAAAAGTTTTAGTGTTCATTATGACTCATGCAAAACAAGGCACATTGTTGCAATATAAAATAAAAAAACAAATAATGACCACAAAACTGATAAAACATGTTCTGAAAAATGTCAGTCTAATCAGCAAGCATGAAAAATGTAGATGACCTTGGGAAAAAAGTACATATTGCTGTTCTTGCATGCTAGCAATGTGAACATGTTGAAGAAAGTTACATTGTTTCATCCTAAATCTATTCTTCCTGGTGTCTAACATTATTTTTATTTTTATTTTATCTGAGAAGATGTGGTGCTCTAATATGCTCATTAGGGAGCATGTATTATATTTAGTAATCTTTCTACATACTTTGTATAAAAGTTCTGCATTTGATAGACTGTAACTCATGTTTCTGTTTCTTTTTTTTATCAGAAAATGCTCGTTGTGCTATGCTGTACAGTGCCTCAGAATATGTTGGTGCTATAGCCACATTATAATATTTTGCCATTGAATTTAATATCATATGGCTCCACATACATAGTGCAGTTTCAAGGCATTCAATTGCACTAAAAAAAGGCTGTTTTGACTGGTCTGTGCATTCATGAAAGCACCCACTCCATCCAATGGCAGGGAGAGCAGTGCACATGCCAGTTTTTGTAGCGTCCGTGCTTTTTACATTAGCAGAAGAACAGCATGGAAGAGGCTGTGTTCTATCAGCTACTTGTTTTTTTATATGAACACAGGAGGAGGTTTGGCAAACTCTGAATGAAATAAGTGTAAAAAAATAAGAATTTTAAAGAGTAACTCCAATCACCATGATCACTTCAGTGCTTTGAAGTGGTTATGGTGGCAGGAATTGCAGTGATTCTGTTTGAAACGCTGCGCATGGAGAGTAATCTGCATTTTTGTTCCGCAAACTAGGCACGCCTCCTCTGTCCCAGGCTGCCTATTGTCAATTCTGTGCATAAAATACATCCAATCTCAGCATGCACCGAATGCTGGCAACGGACATATTGGGCTTCTCCCTTGCAGGTAAAACAATGCAAGCATTTCTCACCCATCCCATGCTTCTCACCCTCCTTCTCCAATTTGAGTCCCTATGCCATCAATAGTGCTTAGATTTTTTTTTTTTTTAAACAATATTTAACACCTTCTCCTCCTCCCAATTTCCGTACATACCCTCGCCGGCCCAGATTATGAGCAAGCTCCCTGAGCCGGTGATTTGACTGCGTGTGGACCTTGATAAAGATGTAGAAAGCTGCAGAAGGCAGTGCCAGGTGTTTGGCTTGCGTTGAATTCCTGGTAAGTAAAAAAACGCTTTTGCAGGTCTACTGCAATAATGAAGCAGAAAACTAATAAATAGTGTTTACATTTTAAATTGAAAAATGTCCCTCCCCCATACAAAAAAACTGTTGGAATAACCCATTCAAGGCCACTAGTTTAGTGAATAAGCACCCATGTGACAAAGCAAAAAAAAAAAAAAGCTATAAAGGCTACAAACTACCCTGTAAATTAACAGTAAGCAAGTAATGAATTATAATGAAATATTGAAAATCTTTACGTATTCAGTGATCTAATAGTGATTGTTAGATGAGTAGGTTCAACTATTTGCAGATGAATAAAAATAATGATATATATATATATATTTTTTTTTTTTTTTTCTTACATTAGCTCGATGAAATGCTGCAAATGCTATTTTCCCTTTTAACTTTATAATGGAAATCTGCGTTGGAGAATACACAAAAACAGAATATTAGCAAGCGGATCTGAGGTCAGAAGCGTTGCCTTTTAAAGGAAATGAGTAGGAAATTGTAGGAGACATAATATAGCCTAAGGATCTGGCATTTAACCAGCTTTATTTCATTTTCTGGTAATACTTGTGGGACAATACAGGACATGTGGAATGCAAGCTTTACAGCTTTCGCCTATAGCACATCTTTGCTACTGTGTTAGATAAAGGTTTTCACAATTTCCATAGCCTTCCGTTGCTCAGGTGTCATATGACACCCATTCAATTGTTGTAGAATTCAAACTACAATTCAACCAATTCAGGTAAAGATGACTAAACTTGACTTTTCCCATATTTTTTTTTTCAAGCAGCATTCTTTAAACAATTCTTAAAACATTAATGATAATATTATCAAAACAAAAAAATTATGTGCATGACAAATGCTTTTTTAGGGTAATTCAATGAAGTGAGACTTCAAAGTAAATTTAAAGCCATTTTCAAATTTAAGGTTAAAATAGCTGACCTGGCTTTAAATTTAAGGTTAAAATAGCTGAAGAGAAAAATTCTCTTAATTCAGCTATGCCTTCAGATCAGGTGCTTTGACCTAAAATTTGAAATTCACTTTGAATTCTCACTCTAGTGAATAACCCTGTAAATTTATGTAAAAGTAAGTAAAAAAAAAAATCATTAACTTTATAAGCATGCAGACAATGAAATTATTTTGCACTAAAAGTTATTATTAATCAACCTAAAGAGCTTTCCTAAGCAACCAAACACACTTTTCTGAAGTGGTGTTGGTACATTGACGAAGTCTGTGCTGAGTTTCTGGTAGAAATGCTGCCAAGCTTAAGATATTTTAATTGTCGTATTTACTTGAATCTAATGCACACCTTTTTTGGAAAAAAAAGTTTCCAAAATGTAATGCGCATTAGATACGTTTGCTCATTACATTCGGGGCAACATTCAACATTTTTCGGCGATTTGCATTCTGGCAAATTGCATTCCAGCGAATTCAAACTGGTGAATTAAAACTAGTGAATTCAAACAGACGAACTCAAACAGGTAAATTCACACAGGCGAATTCCATTCAGGTAAATTCCCACAAGCAAATTTTGTTCCTGAAAGAGGGCTTAAGAAAGAATAGACTTAACGTTTAACATTAAAATAGAAATACCATCAATGTTACTATGGTATATGGCAATACACATTTTCGTTGTAGCACAATGTTGTATAGTAGTATCTTCTTGTATAAATGCGCATTACATTCGCCAGCAAAAACATTTTTTAGCTTCCAGTTTTCAAAAAATTGAGGTGCGCATTAGATTCGACAGTGCATTAGATTCAAGTAAATACGGTATTTGACTTTGTGTAATTCCCCCTCAGACTCTTGTCAATCAAAATTATCCACAGTTCAAAGGTCTCAGCTCTCGCATTCCAGCAAAGAGAGTCTAGGCAAGGACTGCACATGCACAGGTCCTGGCTTTCTTAGGGTTTAGCATCGCTCCATTTACTAAACAGTGAATGGGTGAATTCAATGTGTAAGCTGACCATAGGCATGCGCACAGGGTGTGCCTGGTCACACCCTAATCCCGCGGCATGCCTATGGAGTGAGACCGGCAGGGGAGATCTCAGGATCTCCCTAGTCCGCTCATGCAGAGCCGTCGCTATCCGATTGCCGGCTCTGCTCCAAGCCTCCATGGGCCGGTGGGCAGATCAAAGATCTCCCTCACCAACCCACATGCAGGGAGGGAGGCAGGAGAGGATCCGGGGAGCTAAATCCAGCAGCTCCGCCAGGTTCCTCTTACGAGATCTGAGCGTTGCCATGGCAACGCTCAGATCTCGGGAGAGTGAACTCTAGCTCCGCAGGCTACAATTCACTCACCACTGGACCACCAGGGAAGGCAGCAGTAACAAGGATCCCCCCTCCCTACATAAGGTAAGAAGGGAGGGGGGATATTAAGTAATCTGCCCCCACCTCCACTGGACCACCAGGGAAGGCAGCAGCACGGTCCCCCCTCCCTACGAAAGGTAAGATGAGAGGGGGGATATTTATTAACTATCTGCCCCCACCTCCACCCCCACAAATCACCCAAACATACAGCACACACACAGAGCACCCACACACACACAGTACACTAATAGCACCCTCACAAACACACAGCATCCTCACACACAGCACACTAACAGCACCCTCACAAACAGCACACTCTCACACACAGCACACAAACGGCACACTCACACACAGCACACTAGCAGTACCCTCACAAACACACAATACCCACACACAGCCTACAAACAGCACCCTCACACACACACACACACACATCACCTTCACGCAGCACAATACCAGGACTCTAACAAACACACACACACAGCATACTACCAGTACCCTCACACACAGTACACTAACAGCACCCTCACAAACACACACACAAACACCCTCACCCACATAGCACACTACCAGCACCCTCACACACACACATCACACATCACACTAACAGCACCCTCACACAGCACACACACACAGCAGTGTATATATGTGTGTATATATATATATATATATATATATATATATATATATATATATATATATATATATATAGAGAGAGATATATATATAGAGAGATATATATATACACATACATACATATATATACACGCGGCGTGTGCTTGTGCTTGTGCTTTAGGGTGCATACCCTAATGCAATAGGCTGTGCACGCCTATGAAGTTGACAGTAGCTGCGATATGGTTGCTAACAGTTTACACAGGTCACTTCCACTCCTGTGCAGCTTGTCATGGGGATAAACAACTAATCCCATAAGGCTCTGCTGTGCAAGGACTTATGGGAAAATAAATTATTGGCAAGATCTTCCATGGACCCCAGTTCGCTACAGTGATTTGAGACCTGGTAGCTCCATCTGCAAGTAGTTTAAGATTGAGTTCAATCTCAGTGGAAAAACACACTGTGGAGGACACAGTTTCAGATAGGTATATCGTCTTTCCCTCCCTTTTTATGGGTGTAAGAGTGCAAGCACACATGTCATCACCAAACACACAAAACAGTTCACATACAAATATTTCCAATTTAAGAAGAGACATATGAGAATTTAAGCAGACTGAAAAGCTGCTCTTGAAAAAATAAAATGATATTCTTACCACCCACCAATAATTAATTTCATTTTGGACAGCAAAGTTAAACAAATAGAGATTATTTTTATACTGTAAACAGGAAAGCGGTCTTCTAGTCCAATCTACATTGAAAAAAATACCTTTCCATTTTAAGAAAAAGAAACTGACACAATGAAAACCAGTGTCATGAGACAAACGGAATGCAGACTACTAATGAGAGAGGAATTGCAAGACATTCTTTCCCATCATGCTCAGTGATGTAACTGTATACATATCTGGCTTGGTTACCCTGGCTCTTATCATGTACACTGTGAAAACAGCAGGAGGGTTTATAAACTAAACAGTGAATTACAGTGAATTTAAGCCATTATAAAAATGAAGGCCAATTAGCTCATCTGTAAACGTTTTAAACTTGACATCACACATTCAGTTTTCAATTCACCACATTCCACAGTATTGTAATTAAATCCCTGTGGTGTACAGATCAACCTCTCCTAACATTTTACTTGTAAAACTGAAATTAGTGGGACAACCTTCAATCAGTACCAGAGCTCTGTGTGGATCACAAAACATATTTTAAATGTCTGCTCTGTTACACTCCCTCACATGTGTTTTATATTTTACTAGTTTTCCAAATGTGTTGATTAACAGAGTGCAAAGAGGAGACAATTAAAATAATTAGTATTGTTCGTATATGATAAAAACAGTCTCAAAGATATTCATTCAAGTGAAAATTACCTGGAATTCAAACTTAATTTCAAAATGTAGGCCAAGATAGCCAGTTAGAAAAGTGTGTAAAAGAATCAACAATCTAGGTATTTTATTACGTGCTTAGCTGCTTGTATATTGTGTTTTTTTTTCATTAGTTTCTGCTTATTTATTTTAACTATTAATTGTTTTTTGCGCTCTCTAAGTTATGTAGAATTATGTTAGGATTGACTAAAGATGCTATTAGATTCATAAGTATATTTATCAAAGCAAAAACAGATGCAAAGAACGAATGTCAAGAAAGAGTCTACATGTTTATATGGTAATTACTCCTTATATAGCTGTGTTATAAATCTGTTTTCTTCTTGATAAATCCCCCCAAAATTGCTAACTTCTACAACAACAAAAAATAGAATACATTCTCTGAGCAAGATTTGATACATAGAAAAACACAACACAGTCTTGAATTTGCTTTGACTTGTCTGGGGTAACTAATTCTTCGACTTGCCCACATTTAGTTGAAAATAATTTACAGTTCAAAATTGCCTGTATGATTACAATTCCCTGCTTGTTTTTCTATATGCAAACTGGAAATTCACAGAGCGGCATGTTTTCAGGCAATTGTAAGAGAATTCCACCTCGAAAACTAAACAGAGTATGTGCTTGGTAGGAAACTTACCAAGGCACATAGAAGATCCACAGCCTCTAGAACAAGTTCCTGATGCCCAATTCGAGTAACTCCAAGTTCTTCCAAATCCTGGTGAGATATCTGCAGCAGCTGGTCACCATTTATTTTCTCCCTCTCCAAATTGGACACGTATTGCTGCAAGGCATCATCAAGCCCTGAAAGCGAAATAAAAAATATATTTTACAATGACAATCAATTTACAATATTTTTTGTTACAATAATAATTGCAGTTTTATACTAAAAGTCAAGGAGTTCCAACTACCGATTTATTTTCATTAGAGCAAAACCCATGTTGTTTTCTCAAGAGAACATATAAAATAATTTCATTTGCAGGTCTGATTTAACCAATATCCATCATTCAAACAAATGTATGTTATTTAAACAGACTGATTTCTCAACATATTTGTTTGCTATTTAAATACACATTACTGTGAGTATTATTACTGTGGAGTTATGCCCTCAGACACATCAACAATATGGAGCTCCTAGTAAAGAGGGACATTAGAACAGAAGAGGGACACAGGGATTTTGGTCCAAAATATGAGCTTCCCTTTCTAACTGTTGATCAGTTGGTATGGATCGATGACTTGTTGTTTACAATAAAAAATAAATAAAAATAAATCAGTACGCAGTGCAGCAGTATGTTGTTTATTCAACTAGTTGTGTTAAAAATAAAGGCATCAATGTCAATATATTATAAAATCATATCAAATGCATTGATACTAGCAGGATTCGGAAAGATTATGGTACAGTTAGGCAGATATTGGGCAGGTCAAATAATATTCAGTTGGTTTTGTTTGGGTGGAAAATATTTCTTATTTTCTTTCTTAATCTGCATATATTGAACAAATTTAACTGAACTTCCAAACTTGTTTGTGTGTCTTTCTGCGATTGTTTATGGTTCGGTTATTCAGCTAAGTTAATATATGTTAAAATTTAAGTCCACTAAGGTAAGCTGAAATGGCATATATACATAAATCAATTTATGATGTATAATGAAAATTATTATAAATGCTACTTATAAATACTGACATTCATGCATAAGGAGTTCTGAAGAAGAGGTACTTAGCATGAACTCTAACTCATGAAATCTAATTCTATGTGTCATGTATAGCTATAATTATATTGGTATCAGAGCCTGGTGTTTGATGCATTGTTCCCAATGCCATGAAGTTAAAGGAACACATTGTGTTAGGAATACAAATGTTTAGGTGACTGGGTGACCAAGTTTCACTTAGTCAGTGCCGCAGAAGCGCCTCAAGTATAATTAGTATAATAAGTATATTAGTATAAATGCAACTACAGGTGCATTTAAAGGGATTCTATAGTGTAAGGAATATGATATCTTTATTGCTTACACTATAGTTCCCTTTGCAAAAACCTTGTAACACTCACCTGATTGCACTCCTGATCTCCCTTAGTCAGTCTCTTCCGACATCATCAGATTGGGGGGGCTAGTGGGCATATGGGGCAAACACATTAGTCTCTCCCAATAGGAAAGCATTGTCTCAATGCTTCCCTATGGGGATATAACTAACGTTGGATGTCCTCATGCAGAGGGTGAGTATGTCCAGCTTCAGTTAGGCGACCAAGCCACCAGGAAGTGCCTCTAGTGGCTGTCTGATTGACTGGCTGTCTCTAAAACTGCAATGATTTACATTGCAGGACTAAGGGGGTCAGAGACACTGCACCGAGACCACTTCAATGAGCTATAGTGGACTGGGTGACTATAGTGTCCCTTTAACCATGTAGTGTAAGCATTACAATTTCTAATAAACAGGAATGTTTTACATTGTAAGGTAAAACTAAAGGACCACTGCATAGAGGCCACTGCATTGAGATGATATAAATATATATATGAATATATATATATATATATATATATATATATATATATATATATATATATATATATATATATATATAATATATATATATATATAGTGTAGATTGGATTATCCGTATTAGTCCAGTAGACAAAATGCCAAAATACGAGAGTATTGCAGTATGCAATGATACCTTTTTTATTGGACTAACATAGTATTTAAAATACAAGCTTTCAAGAGTTTTCCTCTCTTCCTCAGGTCTGAAGCAATACTGATTAATCTGATTGATCAGTATTGCTTCAGACCTGAGGAACAGAGGAACATTTTCCAAAGCTTTTCTTTGAAATATTATGTTAGTCCAATAAAAAATGTATAATTGCATACTGCAATACTGTGGTATTTTGGCATCATATATATAGAATAACACAATTTTATCTTTGTATTAAAGCACTACGGAATATGATGGCGCTATATAAATAATAAAATAATAATAATAATGCCTTTATTAACATCCAAGCAAGTAAAGTTGTGGGACAAAGGTCATAGAAAATGGAAACAGTTGAGTATTTGCTCTGTCTTTATCTAAATGTTCTGTCATTGACCTTTTGGAGAATTCAAAGCAAAGCTTCATTGTACTCAGGTACAGGTAATTAGCGATGTAAACACAAGCCTTAATCATGGGAACAAATAAAAGTGGAGAGCTCATCCAACATGAAGAAGTGGGCAGGGGGGGTTGGGAGGGGATTGAAAGTGACTCTGTTATGGCCTCTTTCTATCCCCACTTTTTTAATCTACTTGTCCCAGCATTGTTAATTTTTTGTCTCTTATCAATCTTGTTTTTTAAGCTAATTTCGCTCTTGCCAGATCTTCTTGCCAGTTGCAATCATCTGCAGTTATACACAGTCTCTATCTTCTTCAGCCATTTTGTGGGCAAGACACAGAAAGTCACAAAGAAGCAGTATTGAATAGAGTAAGTATGAGAGGGCAGAGAGAAGTCCAATCTGATGAGAGAAAGTGGTGAGAGAAGTGGCTACGTCGGTGTCTCACAGTTTTGGTTAAAATAGTTAAATTCAGAACTGGGAGAACACTATACCTTCTATTGTTACTGGCAACTACTACACTCGTTAAGGTGTTGAAACAGCCACTTTAATCATTTTAGACAGGGATCCAAATGATGTGAATTCATATCAGCGACCCATTATTTTAGTGTAATAGGAATAATATTAAAATAAATGTTACAAAACATTTGACCTATTTTGTGT